ATATGTTTGTTTGTTTATTTATTTATTTATTTATTTTTCTTTCTTCTTTCGTTTTTTTTCCGGTCCCGGGAATCGAACTCACAACCTTGCACTTGCCAGGCAGGCACTGTGCCGCTGAGCTAAATCCCCAGCCCCTCTGCGATATGTTTAAATAGCCCAACTCCAGCCAATGATAAACTTACTCCCTGTCTCGGGGATTGTTTTTGGTAACTAGTAATAAAACACTCCCACTGAGGATGGCATAATCATATTGGGTTTTGGTTTTCTCACATAACAGGAAATCAGAGGTGGTGAGTCCAGGCTGGTATAGTAGCTTCATGATGTCCTCAAGGACCTCAGCCTTTCTGTTACTTTATGCCCAGGGTTCATCCTTGTTTTTGTCACCTTGCAATCCAGTGGAGTCTGAATGCCAAGCAGGAAGAAAAGGAGGCTTAGTAAGCCTGCCTTCTTTTAAAGACTTTCCTGGAGGGACACACAGAAATTTTACTTATACCTCTGGCCAGGCCTATGTCACAGAATCTCCTTCAGCTTACAAATGAAATTGGAAAATTTTTTCTGGGTGAACTGCTGCTTTGAAATATTGGCAGAGAAGAGAATACATGTTGGAGGCATGCCATCTTTCTGTACCTTATCTCCTTTAATCCTCATAATGACCCAAGGAAGCTGGGGCTGTTGTTCCATCTACAGATGAGGAGCACGAAAGCAGAGAGATCACTTGCCCAGGGTCACTCACTTTTTAAGTGATAGCATTAGTTCTTTGATTTTTTGTTTATTTGTTTGTTTGTTTTTGTTGTTGTTTTGAGACAGAGTCTCGCTATGTAGCTCAAGCTGGCCTTAAACTCATGACAATCCTTCTGCCTCAGCCTCCTGAGTGCTAGGACTACAGGTGTGCACCACCATGCCTGGCTAGCATCAGTTCTTGAATCCAGATTTCTTTGAGTCTAAATCCTGTGTTTTCTGGGTTTGTTATTTTCACAAACTGATACAAATGGACAAAGAGGTCACTGAGTGTGAGAAATTCCTTGTGTTTTTGGACCATTGTTGATTGCAGGTGTTCCTGATAATAACAGTGACCTGCACAGAAATAGCCATCTGGGAAAGACATGTGTCATCTTAACTAAACATCTATGTTCTGCATGGCCAAGCCCTCTGAATGACACAGTCATTGGCAACAGAGAGGTGCTTCATTCTTTGTCATCATTGTGCTAAATTGAGCATTGCAGAGATCCTTTATGACAAGTCTCCTGATTTGAGGAGTCCTGTGTTAAATTGTTGGGAATGCAAAGAGGGAAGAAACCAAAAAACCTTTTGGCCATGAATCCTATATCTTAATGTTAATTAAATGTGTAAATCAGGTAAAGTTAAGAAGTTGGAAACATTATCTTCACCTTTCTTATCTTCGGTTACAGGCTGAATATTTTCAGTACTAAAGTGCATCTTATGTAAGTCCCAGGAGCCATAGGAATAAGGAGATGTTTATAACCCTAAAGTCTTAGGGGTTAGAAAATTGCCAGGTGGCAAGCAGACTACCATTTTTTTTGCCATCCTAAGAGTTTGTTTTGTTATAAATTGTGAGTTTATCTGAAGAAAAGAATTTATCATCCCCTATCAAATTGATTTCCAGGAAATACTAGCGTGTATGGGAGTGTGTATCCTCATACGTACATACCCAATAGGGACTAAAATGTATCATTGTGAAATTGTGCCAGGTTAGAGGAGACTAGCAAAGTCTATTATTTATTGACTAGTTATTTATGAGAACAGTGTTAAATATGGTCACCATGAATAAACCAGGTTTTTGGTCATTTGGCTTTGAAGGCAGGAATTATTGTCTCTGATTTCTTATACCCTGAGTTTCCTGTTCCAAGGAATATATTGATGCTTAATAAATCCATGGTGATTGATTTAGTAAAGAGAGAAAAATCCACATTACCATTGGTTGGACTGTGACATTGTATCTCCAGTCTTTGGGTCCTGGAGTTGAAGAAGCCATTTCCCTACGGTTCTAATGTCGTACACGTAGGTGGCATATTTCACTCTCAGGCTCTTATTTTTTTTCCCCTCTGGCTCTTATGACAAAGTGATGTTTATCTTTGTGGTGTGAATAACAAGAAGATACAATTACTTGTGTTTCACAATTGGAGTAACCCCTTGAAAATATCATAACAAGAGAAAGCAGAGCACAGGTCAGGGCATAAAATTCCATGATTTAGTCAGATGTGACCCAGAGGGCAGCAGAGCTTTCATCACCTGGGCAGCAGCCTCAGCCCATCCTCTCTGGGTGGCCTCCTGAATTTGAGAAGTAGTAAAGAAAGTAAAGGCCTACTTAGGCAACCTGAAGGCTGCTGTAAGGGTTACAGTGATGAGGATGAAAGGAAAGAAGTCAGTTAAAACTTTTCATGTACCTTGTGAAACAGAGTTGTCCCTTTATAAACTTACGGTAAGAATTGTTCTTTCTTTAAGTATAGGCCCCTGATTATTTTTCCTATTTTGCTACTCCTGAGCTTATAGACCCCTGAATATTAGTGACGAAAAGACCCTGAGAGATCACCATCTCAATATGTCATTATAAAATGATATAATAGTCCTTCCAGTATAAGTAGTAGAAGCTAACACTAACTTACAGGAGAGAGGGAGTTCATTGGTTAGGACCAGAAAGCCCAAGGATGAATTCATTTTAGGTATGGCTGCTTCTGGGACCTCAGACTGAGTTTGTATGGCTTCATTCTCATACTGTGTCTTCCCACATGGTTGTAGCAGCTCAAGAGCAGCTGCAGTCAAAAGTCCCAGGGCTAACTGTGAATGGCCTGGATTGGGCTGTGTGTCCATCTTTAAACCAGTCCCTAAGACCCTGGAACTTCTGTGGGATGAGGAATAGTAGAGTCAGCAACACTCAAAGCACTGTACAGAGAGTAGGGTTGGATGAACCCCAAATGAAAGTGAAAATGCTCTTGTCAGAAGGGCAGTGAATACAGTATAGGGTGGGGAGGAAAAACATCTCCTACTGGTAAATGAAAGGCGGTCCAACAAAGCATATTTTTTGTCCATAAAGCCTGGGATTCTCATGAAAAAGGTATTAGTACTTCAACAGTGAGAAGTATGATTGCTTTTCTCAGTTCTCTGTACCTAATTTAAGGCCAACAGTTGGACCTACACACATAAGAATCATGCTCTATGTTGGGAATTGTATTTTCACTCAATAATTGACATTGTGTCTACCAGACTGGGTTGCTTGTCCCATAAGTCTGTGCTGATTATTGGCAGCTGAGGTTTTGAGATTGTCGCAAGGATGCTTGGGGCCTGACCACTGAAATGTAAATGCAGCGGCATTTCTGATATAAACTCTCAGATAGAATTGGAGACCCTGCTACCTTGGCCATTTCAAGACTGGTGCATCTTAAGGCTAGGACCTTTTTTTTTTTTAAACCAAGGAGCATGGCCAGACGGGCTGCCTCATCTAAAAGTCCCCAGTAACTCTGCTGGCCTATCCAGGCTGAGCTGGAGTATGTTCTTGTGACTCCAGTGGAACCACTGTTGTGTCCCTGGTGCCGAGTAATGGCAGCACAGACATAACTGGGACCTGTCCCAAGGAGGTGAGGAGGGAAGCAGCTTACAGAAGGAGGTGGGCCTTGAAAGAAGAATCCACCCCTGTCCCAGAACTTCTTCTTCAGTCTTAGTTCACTTCAGACCCTTCTTGTTTATGTTTCCAGATTTATATAGATGCAATGCACGAACACACATATGGAGAGGCAGAGGACAAACATATGTAGGCCCCAAAGCCTGGGCTCTGGATTCTACCTGGGGTTAAGCCCAGGCACCACACTGTCTCAGCTCTGTGGTCTTGGGCAAATCATTGGTCTCGTCTGTGCCTCCATTTCCTTTGCTCTAAAATCAGATTGCTGGTATAAGGTTGTCAGTAGGTCAGTGTTACTGGATTCCTGTTTGAGCTGTCCCCTCGTAAGATATATCAGTGGTCATGGGGAGAAGTACCTGTTCTTTAGTTACCACTACCAAAGAGTTAATTAAACTGCCAGCTGTACTTTGGGCTATACTAGAACCCAGTGGGAGAGATCTGGCTTCAGGAGCTGTCTTAGTTTTCTCTCATTGCTGAGACGAAATACCTGATACCCACAGGTTAAGGGAGGAAAGGTTTAAGTAGCTCACAGTTTGTAGAGGTTTCAGTGTATAACTGGCTGGCTCCAAGTGGCACATGGCAGAGGGACAATCATTCATGGTGGCGGGATTCAGCAAAAGCAAGGGAAGGGACAGAGAAGCCTCTTTCTGTCCCTTATAGTGTAAGTAGTCTACCAGGCTCAGGGCAGTGCCAATCCAGTCAGTGAACTGATCCAGCAATCACCTGTCCTTAATTCTAGCACCCTTAATCCCAGCATTGCACCATGCATCAATCTTATCCTCTAGATTCAGCCACTTCTGAAAAAGCCCTATGACCACATGAGGCTTTGGGGGCACATCTAGACACAAACCATAATAGGAGCCTTCTAGCCAAGCTGGACTACCCCCTGCTGACAGATGGACAAGTAGAAGAAAGGAAAGATAGGATTGAGAACACAGGTAATAGATTTTATGGAGACTGTCACATGTGTCACTTACTTATTTTTTCATACAATAGTACTTAGAGTACCTTTTCCATATCAGTCATTGTCCAGAAGTTCTGGATATCAAGTGATTGGCCAGGTGAGCCTGTGACCTGCAGAAACCCATAGTCTCTTCGGGAGCTGCATAAAAGTAAACACAAAGTTATGGTCCCAGTATAATTAGTGTGACAATATAGTCAGCATAGTCTTATTCTAGACTGAGGATGTATTTTAGGGGTGGCAGATCCTTAAAAGAGTAGTAGAAAGTAGGCCGCAGGGTAAAGAATTGGGCAGGAAAGGTGCTCCAGGAGGAGAAAATAGCCCAGGAAAAGGCGAGTACATGTGAAGTGTGTTCACTGAGGGAAGTGGCTGTGGAGTGAACTGAGTGTGTTTCTCTTGCTGCAGGGATTTGGAGAAAGTGGAGCGGCAGGCAGTGCCTCAAGCCAACCACACAGAGTCCTGTCGAGAGTGTGGCAATACGGGACCTGGACACTCAAGGAATTGTCCTCATCGCGGCCATGATGACTCTGTTGGCTTTGAGAGGCAGGAGCAGGAAGAACAGCGGTACCATTCCCAGAGAGACCTGCTGGAGAGCAAGCGGGACAGGAGCAAGGCCAGGTCCCCATACTCACCCACTGAGGAGGATGCCTTGTTTGTGGATTTACCCAGTGGCCCAAGAGGCCAGCAGGCACAGCCCCAGCGCGCAGAGAAGAATGGCATGCTGTCTGCCTCTTATGGCCCTGGAGAGCAGAATGGTACTGGCGGGTACCCTCGGGCCTTTCCTCCCAGGGCCACCACAGAGAAGCACAGCCAGAGGAAGAGCAGCCTGGCCCAGGTGGAGCACTGGGCAAAGGCCCCGAAGGCAGATGGCAGGAGGTCAGTGTGTACTCAGGATCCTGCTGATGATGCAGCAATAGTAACTGTCATTGCCTAGCACTCGCCGGGTAAATGGAGGCCTTAAACCCTTCACCTCCATTATCTGTGTGAATCTTTGGAACAGCCCTGAAGAAGACTGAGATCCCTATCTTATAGACAGAAGAACTGAGGCTGGGAAAAGTGAAAGAACCTGCCCAGGGCACACAGATCAGTGGAAAAATAGGAGTTCAAACCCAGTTCTGTGAGCCTCCAAAGCCCACAGGAGATTACAATGGGGAGGCATCTCTGCTACCTCGAGAGCCTGCCTTGAGACATTAAGCATGGGGGTGGGGGCTGATCTCTGCTTATGCTGCTGCTGCTTTGCAGCTGAGAATTCTTTGTAGAAACTAGAGTAAACGTAAGTCCAGGTTTGAATTCCAGGCACATCAAGAAGTGCTCAGGGACTGTTGACATTAGGCTTTATCAAACCCATTCCTTAAAGAAGTAGCTTTAACTGTTTAGAAGGGATGTATCTTTTGCTGTTTGCACAGCACTGTCTGTATTTTATTATAATTTTAGATTAATTAGGACAGGTTTATGAAGATTTCAGGGTCATGCAGCTTCCCTGTTGTCCCCAGAAGCCACCATGTTTTGTCTTCATTATGAAGATATGGCAACTTGCTTACTATCCATAGCCTTCTGAAACAAACCACTGACTAGAGAAGACAGTGAAGTCCCTAAGCGCTCAGAAATTCTCTGGAGCTGATGTAGTTATAGTGGATAGACCAGAGCTCAGTCCAGGAGTGCAGCAGGCCTGATACTTCCCTGTCCCTGTCTGAGGGCCAGACTGGACCTGTGGCTCTGGAGCCAGCAGTGCTCCTCAAGGACTAGCCTAGGCCTGCTTTCAGATGTATGAGTGTAGAGTGCATGTGTGGGATGCTGTGACTCTTAATCTGGGCCAACTGGATGGTCGTGAGGGTGGATAGTGTAGTAGTTACATCAGAACCTCCTGAGCCACTGAGAGACATTGCTATGTTTTAGAGCAGGAGAAGGGAAGGCCCTTTGTATGTTAGCTAAGCAGCCTTCCCCTGCCCACCTAGGAATGACCAGGTATCAATTCTGTTTATTTAACTTTGGTATCTTACTAAAAACAGAAAGCTACTGTGACAGAACTCAGAGGAGTAAAGTGGCTGCCTTTGGTGCTGGGCTAGGTGGTTCCCAGGCAGGTGGCTCCAATTGATCCTCTTTTGAGTGAGGTTGGACAGTTAGGGTGGTATTGTAATAGGTCCTCCAATCTGAAGGTAAGGCGTTTGAATTTTATTTTAAAATGCAATAGAGGGAACTACTGGACAATTTAAGCAAGTAGGTGATGTGATCTGATGAATGTTCATAGAGAAAGTAAGAGACTAGGGGTAGGCTACTGCGGTAGTCCAGGATGTAAAATGAACAGATTTGAGGTATTTTGGATGTTGAAGTCATGGAGCTTGTCAGAGCAATAGATAATCAGGATGGAGACAAGACAAGAATGAGGGTGATGCCTAGAGTGTTGACCTAAGAAACTAGTGGCTGCTGGGGTGGAGAAGGTTAAGGAAGGAACGAGTTTTGGGGGAACAGAATTTTTATTTTGGATGTAAAAATGGGGAGGGCTACAGGTGGAGTTGGAGGTAGCACTCACGTTTGGCTTGGCTAAAGGTAGATGTGATGCCTTGCTCCAGATAACACAGGTCAAGGATGGGAGCTTGTTAAGGAATGTGGTACCTATCTGGGAGATGACCTGTAGGTCATAGAGATTGTGGATACAAGTGGTAGAGATTGTGAGTACAAGAGGTAGAGATTTGAGAGTGATGGTCCTGGAGTAGGTAACTGATGCCCTGGCAGTAGTTAATTGTCCAGGGTGGAGTGCTTTGGGCTGTGGTTCTTAATCTTGGCTGTACAACTTGATCACTGGAGATTTTGATTTAATTGCTCTGAGGTGAGGTCAAAGCATTATATGTCCTACAAGATCCTTGGATAATCCTGCCAGTTTGGAAACTGTTGCTTGGTCACACATTGGAATCGCCAAGAGGAGTTTAGAGGCTTCAGTCTCATGCCCAGAAGTCTTCCCATGGTCTGGGTTGCAGGATTTTTAAAAAGCACAACTTTTCCTCCCCAAGTGATTCTAATGTGTGGGTGAAGTTAAGAATTCCTAACTCTGTAAGCAATAGAAGGGACCAGACAGAACCCTGGGAATCCCCAGCCCAAGGCGTAGACAAAAAGCAAAGTTTTCTTAAAGGAGATAGAGCAAGGAAACTGGGAGGGATCTTTGGGGGAGAATTCTTTGGTTTGGTTTGGTTTGTTACTGGGAATCAAACTCAGGGCCTTGTGCATGCCAGGCAGGCACTGAGCCACTGAGCTATTTCCCTGGCCCTGGGGGGAGAGTGTGTTGGAAGAAGCACAATCATCAGTGCAAGGTGCTGAGGATGAAGACTTCTCCCTGAGATTGGTACCTTCCAAGGTGGGCACTACTGAAGACAAGTCTGGTGCCTCAGACTTATCTGGCCTTTTGTTCTGACCAGAGGTCTTTTTTCTGCTCAGTTTCTTATTGGACTTGGCTGAGCAGACCTGTATTGCCACCTTTAATAAAGCTAGAATTTCAAAGTGAGGTCAGGAGACAGAGTCATAGGAAGAGAAACTAGTGAGATGGCATAGCCAGTGACAGAAAGGACTTTCAAAACAAGACCAACTGATAAACAGAGGTTATTGGTTGTGCAGTGTCTCTATATAACCATTTGTGGCAACTCACACACCTCTGTGGTTCTGCTATATTATTGGGGATCGGGGAGAGTGCATCAGGGAGCTGAAGGATAAGAAGTCCATAAGGAGGTGAGAGGTGGCTGGGGAGGGCCTTGGCTTTTCCCTAGGGTGTGAGGTAGGAATTTGAATAATTCATTGACTTTGGAGATCATTGGCACACAACCGGAGGAATTTCAGGCTAGTGTGGGAGGCAAATTTCAGCGGCCTAAAAGTGATTGAAAGTGGAGAAATGAAGGCAGAGCATAAAAGAAGTACTGCCCATCTCTCAGCAAAACGCTTGGTCTCTGATCTTTTACTAGTTTCTTAAAAGCTCTGCATTTTATATTCCCAGATTTTTTTCCTTAAAGATACATTTGTAATTTCAGTGAGTGAGTGATAGATCTGGCTGCTTAATAAAGGAACCTCTTCAATATCTTTTTGAAAGTATAGAAGATGGATCTCTATTATGTGTATAATTAAGACTGCTAATCTCATTATCATTAGACTGAGCAGGTAAAGATATTGAAAGGAGTTATTTGGACTGCAATGTGATCCTGTGTTCTCAGCTTTAGATCACACAGGGAGTTATTTCTAACTGTTCTTTCAGTTCTTGGAGATAAATATATTTCACATTATCAAACTCATTGAGAATATGGTTCGCTGGAGTCAGGCTGATAAGGCATACCCTTAGATTCTTATCACAGTCTAAGAGCTAGTTTTGAAATTCTAGCCTTCCTTTTTGCCCCCAGTGTTCCAAGCAAAGCATACTTGTAAAAATAATAAGGTGGGAGTGGGGCTGAGGCAAGGTTACTCAAACACTATTACAGAAACCGAGTAAGAAGTAAGCCCCTGTGTGATGGAAATGCAAGTTAGAGTGAGGAATTTCTACTGCTTAAATAATTGATTGCAAAAACATGATTTTATACTCTGATACGACCATATTTATGCTATCTAAAATAGAATATCCTCAAAAAAAAACAAACAAACAAACAAAAAAAACCTTAGGGCTGGGGATTTAGCTCAACAGCAAAAGCGCCTGCCTGGCAAGCGCAAGGTCATGAGTTTGGTTCGCGGTACCGGAGAAAAAACAAAACAAAAAAAAATAAAATAAAATAAAATAGAATATCCTTTTAGTGCCTTTAGAGATTTTTTTTGGATGAGGCTGGAATTGGGGCCAGCAATTGGATCTGCTGTGGAGCAGAGCTGCTCTAGGAGTTCCTCTTCAGGGTCTTTACCTCGTCTTTCTGCTATCTCCCATGTCCCTACCTCTGTCATTTGTTAGTTATCATCCTTTGGCTCATGGGGCCAGAGCTCATCATTGTCCTGGTACCTCAGGGTCACCCAAGTGACAGACAGTGCAGAAGTGGAGGGTGTAGGCTAGAGGATGACCCTAGGGTGTCTGGGGCATCACTTGGTGGGGAACTCTGTCCAGCATCCATCATATAGGAAGGCATCCAGAGTGGGTTGTGGAGCCAGACAGAAGGGGTAGAGGGTGGGAGTGTCTGGGACATGCTTTGCATTCTTTGTGTTTTGCCTCATGCAGAATGAACAGTGGTTAGTAAAGTCCTGCATTTTCCAGGGGAAGCTCTGGCCTGGCTTTTCCCGCTCCTGCCACCTCTGCATGAGGATTCGTGGCATAGTGGCAGCTCCACCCCAGAGACACATTGCAGTTGGACTTTGGGAGATTGAAAGTAAGCTCTGCCACCTAGTGACAAGCAGGCGCACTTGACATACAGGACAGGTCTGGGCTAAAGAGATCTTAAAATTACCTCCTGCAACTGCAAAGTAATGGGGGGGGCGCATTTTGAAAGACACTTATTTCTAATCCTTACAACAATCTGTTAAGTGGTTATTTCCCCATTTTATAAGAAAGAAATTGAGACTTAAGACAGAAATGACACTTTGACTTGAGGTCAGACAGCTAGAAGTGATTAAATGGGCTGAATATAAGAGAGCATCTTTACATCTTCAGAGAGTGTCAGAATCACCTGAAGGGATTTTAAAACACAGGTGATTGGGCTCTGCTGCAGAATTTCTGATTCTTAAGTCTGATAGGGCTGAAAATCTGCATTTTCAAAATATATTTTATTTTAATTGAAAACTATTATATGTACTTATGGGGTAAATGTGAAATCTTGATAAATGTGTACATTGTGGAGTGGTTAAATCAAGCTAATCAGTATTTACCACTATGCCTACTTATTTTTTGTGGTAAGAATACCTAAAATTATTTTTGAGCAATTTTGAAATGTACACCATATTATTATTAACTATAATCACCATACTGTCCAATGGAGCTCTAAAGTTATTCCTTCCATTTAACTGAAACTTTGTACCCTTTGACTCATATCTCTCCCTTCCTATCCTCCACCCTCTCATAACTATAGTTCTATTCATTGCTTCTATGAGCTCTACTTTTTAAGGTTGCATATATAAATGAGGTCATATAGTACCTGTCTTTCCATACCTGACTTGTTTCACTCATCTGCATTTTTAAGGTGGTGGTGAAACTGCTGGTTCATGGACCACACTGTGAGTAGCCTGGGCATAGAATAACGTCTGGCACATGACAAGCACTAAATAAAAATTAGTTAAATAAAAGCAGTGTTAGATAGTTAGATACAAAATTAGTTAGATACAAGCAGTGTCAGGATTTGGACTCAGGCCTGACTCCACAATCTGTTCTCTTTATATCATACTGTCTCTCAGATTAGACTTTTAAGGTTTATTAATAAAACTTCATACTTTGTACCTTGCTGAATATGTCTTACATATTCAGAAAGTTAGCTGGTAGTGGTTTTGAAAGTCCTATGCAGCTTTTGGAGTGAGTATTGAAGGGCTGACTATTTGTGAGAACTTTCTCAGACTGTGAACAATACCAGAGTGTGAGACACAATTCTTATCTTGTAGGAATTTTCAGCGTGGCTGGAGAAGAGATGTCTTGCAAGTATGAAAAGGTCACATCAGTACAGGAGCTTGGGAAAGTGACAGTATGATAACTAGTTAAACAGAGCAGGAACATTGAGGGCTGTAGAACCCATGAGAGAAGCATGGGCCACCATCCTGGAAGTTAGATTTGTGAAAATAGAACAGGTAGCCCATACAGGAAAGTGTGGAAAGAACAGTGTTCCAAGAATAGGGAAGGAGGAAGGAAAGGAGCGCACACAGGTGGTGGAACTTCTGTGTATCCACGTGGAGGGGGCCTTCTCCCTTACTGGTGTCATTTACTCTTCAGAACAACTGCCAGGCATGATGGCGCATGCCTGTAATCACAGCACTCAGGAGGCTGAGGCTACATAGTGGGATACAAAGTAAATTCAAGACCAGCCTGAACTACATGTTGGGACCTTGCTCCCCTCCAAACCCCAGCCATATGAGGCAGGTAATACTACCTCACATTGTAGATGGGGAAAGTGAGACTCAGAGCAATCAGTAAGCCAGGCCACATAGCTAGTGAACAATAGAGTTGGGATTCAAACCCAGGGCAACCACTTCCTACCTTTGCTTTGTCACTGGGTGATGGAGAGGCTGAGCCAGACTAAGTGAGGCTAACTGTCAAGAACCAGCCAGTGTGGCCATGCCTGTGAGGGATGCCTCCTTTGGGAATGGGCCTTGGGCGCCTGGTGTGCTCCAGCCTAGTCCCAGCGTGGTGGGAGGAACAGGGAGAAACTACAAGACTGCAAGGTGCTTTAATGTTTGGTTCTAGAGAGCCTTGACTGTAGGTTTTACTTTACAGATGGCAGAAAAGTTTTCAAAACATGGAAGTGACTGGATCAGAGCAGGAGGCGGAATATTTGGTAGAGATGAGTAGTAGTGTCTCTGAGTTGTCTGGGGGAGGTAATTAACCAGTGTCCACACTAGAGTAGTAGCAAAATGAAGGGCTAAATATCAACCATTTCCTTTAAAAATCTGTACAACTTGGTGCTAAGATCCCAGGCAGAGGGAAAATCTTGGTGACTGAAAGGATTTTGAAGCCTGTCCTAGACATGCAAATTGTCAGTGCTGGCAAGAGATGGGAGAAGGAGAAAGCAGAAGCAGTTCAGTCCTTGTGTACTGGAACTGAGGACTCTAGTGGCCCCACATCGGTCTGGTAGGGAGTTAACAGAGAAAACTGGTTCTGCAAAGAGAAATGAGAGCCCTGAGTGTCTGCTCATTTTGGGGTCTGACAGAAGAGGACTCTTCCATGTGCTTGATCTGGTAGGTTTGCTTAGCTGTGTTTCTGTTCTTTACTCTCTCCTCAGCCTTCCCTCAGACCAAACACTTCCTCGCCAGGGTCCCAGCCAGCCCCTGTCCTTCCCAGAAAACTACCAGACCCTTCCCAAGAGCACCCGGCACCCCTCAGGGGGGTCCTCGCCCCCTCCGCGGAACCTGCCTAGCGACTACAAGTATGCACAGGACCGTGCCAGCCACCTGAAGATGTCAAGTGAGGAACGCCGGGCACACCGGGATGGCACTGTGTGGCAGCTGTATGAGTGGCAGCAGCGCCAGCAGTTCCGGCATGGCAGCCCCACAGCACCCATATGTGCTGGCTCCCCGGAGTTTGCAGACCAGGGCCGGAGCAGGAGCATGCTGGAGGTGCCCCGCTCCATCTCTGTGCCTCCATCACCCTCGGACATCCCTCCCCCAGGGCCCTCGAGGGTCTTGCCACCCAGGAGGCCACACACGCCAGCAGAGCGTGTCACTGTGAAGCCACCAGAGCAGAGGAGAAGTGTGGACATCTCACTGGGAGGTTCTCCCAGGAAGGCACGGGGCCATGCCATCAAGGTAAGATATGAGGACCTTAACCTCTATTGGGTCCAGCCTCAAGGTGCTGGGAACCTCACCTGGTTTGAGCACAGATTGAGGCACTGGAACTAAATGATAGCAAACACTTTAAGTGCCAGTGTAGTTCTTGAGCTTCACTTTCATTTTGAGCACAACCCTATGAGGTAGGTGCTATAATCAGAGCCCATTTTACCAAGGCTTTGGGAAACAAAGTCACTCACATGAGGTCATATAACTAAACATCTGCTTCTCAGCAGCTTGTAAGGCAGGACAGGATGTCAGTGTTCAATCAGTTCTGTTATTTATTTATTTATTTATTTATTTTATTTATTTTTCAAGAGACAAAATTTAATATATGCACATGGTTTTATATATAATGCAGCATCACACCATGTAGGGCATCAGTTCTGCTATTTATAATAACCTTTCTCAGGTTTGACTTTCCAAGGGGTTTCTGCAGTATACTGTTTTGTCTCTAGTGAGGAAGGCATAAGCGCCCATCTCACAGGGTGTCTCAGGCTCACATAAGGGAGCTAGCAGAGAGTGCTACTTGGGAGTGAGTAACAGAGAACTTCATGTCTGGCCCTCAGGGTGACTTCTTGTCTCCCCACCTTTAGAACTCCTCGCATGTGGACCGACGCTCCATGCCTTCCATGGGTTACATGACCCACACTGTCAGTGCTCCCAGTTTACATGGAAAATCGGTAAGCAGCCCCATACTCCCCACCTAGGTGAATATGATACGGCCTATAGTCCTGTCTCGGTGGGGTTTCCTCCCTCTGAACTAGTCACAGGATCCTGCAGCTGTTCCAGTAAAGACTGGGTAAAGAACTTGGGAAGTAGGGGGGAATGTTGGGCTTGTCTTCTCCTTTGTATAGGATTTTGCCAGAAGCATTTTACACCCACCATCTCTCTCCTGTTAGCTCCTTTCCTTCTTCCCTACTCTTTTATAAATTTACTCTACCTTTAAAGCTTAAGTAGGTGAGGTTGCACTGTTGGTTGCAGCTTTCCCACAGCCATTTGTTACTAGTGCTTTTATTTGTGCTAATGGAAGAATTAATGCAATCATTGGATAATGGTGTCACATCAGTGCCATCTCGGCACTGGGGCAACAAATGTAATTAAAGCAGTGCCCCTGTGGTGGCTAATTTCCTTCAATGTGTCTACACACCTGCAGCTGGAGGAGCTCTCACTGCTTCTCACCCGGTTGCGACGGCACCAGGCCAAGTTGGCCAGTGTGCGAAATTTTGCCGTGGGCCAGTTACTGCAGCACCATCTGACCTTTCCCACCTGCCAGGTCAGCGCCCATGGACTGTCCCGGGGCTAGGGAGTGATGTGCTGGCCCGTGTTCCCTTGTGCTGCTCTGGTCTGTCTTTGCTGTCTGGCTCACCCTCACCCCTTGCCTGTTTGCTTCTGGATGCTGCTGCCAGATGCTGTGCGGCAGTCTTGGAGCCCAACCCACTGGTGCTGGGCAGGGGCAGCATGGGGTGGGAGGGCCTTGAACTATAGCTTCTCTGGTTGTATGTAGTGACTGCCAGGCTGGTGTGTGGTCACGTCTAAAGGACTCTGCCAACTGTTAGCCTGTTGTCACATTGGGTACTGCTTGGGTTGCTGAAAGACACAGGTGGTTAGCCTGGAGGGGAGAATGTAGGGTGTCCTCTCATTTCTGACAGTGCCTGCTGCCTGCAGAGTTCTCATTTCTCTTCTGCTGGTGGGCCTTACAGTAACAGGGAGAGATTAGGTAGGACACACAGGCACATGGTTCCGCAGGGGAAAGGACTTGCCTAGATTTCTTGCCAGAAGCATGTAGGCTGGAACTATAATCCAGCTCCTTTCTGGCACAGTGCCCTAAACAGTTTCCAGGACATTGAACTCTGCAGCCAGGCTCTTTGAGCATTGGCCATGGAGTTGCTCTTCCAAACATCTAGAGCAGTTTAACTGCCAGGAATGACAATTCCTGGCAGGGATAGGATAGGTTTGGCCACATAATTCTGGGAGGCAGGGGACAGATAGATGATGGAAGTAATGTGACTCAGCTTCCCTGTCCTGTTTTAGTGAGGGATTTAGAAAAGGAAAGATATTTAGAAAAATGAATGTAGGCAGGGCCCAGTGGCACATGCTGTAATCCCAGCAGCTCGGGAGGCTGAGGCAAGAGGCTCATAAATTCAAGGTGCCTCCAAATAAAAACTCAGAAGGATTAGGGATGTAGCTCAGTGCAAAGACCTGGGTTCAATCCCCAGTACCACCACTCCCCCCATAAAGAATGTAAAAGGACATGTGCAAAACTGTAAGATGAGTATATTTGGGTTATTTTAGGTAACATTCTCCAGTTCTTTCTACTTCTGTGAAAAGTATGTGAGGATTGGGCTGATTGGGGAAGTAAGGATAGATAAGGGGACAGTGTAAGGACAGAAATAAAATCTTACAAGCCACAAGCATCCCTTTCAAGGGTCTTTTTGCCTTCTCGTGCTTAAAAAGCCCTGCATGAACTTCTCACATGGTTTACATGCAATCATCAGGGCTGTACAGCAGGACCACCTTCCCCAGCCCTGGCTTACCCAGCTAGAAGACCCTGTTACTCCGCAGAGAACATGGCCCCTGGGTCGTTCTTTAGCTCTCTGCTTCCCTGTTAGCATCTGTGACCTCCTACATAGGAGAGCATAAGTTCTAGGGAATTGGTCCTTTCCTTATTTTCACTGCCTCCACTAGTTACCCTGTAGAACTCAACAGACAGTCAGAGATGCCACAAGCAGATAGGTCTGACCCTGGAACTAGCTCCTCATATGGCCACATTAACTCCATGCTGAGCAAAAAAAGTGAAATTTCCATCAGCTGCTGGTGCAAAGTCACACTGGGACCTGGATCACCTGAGTCATCTCTCTGTCCTTCTAGGCATCTCTTTTTTTATCAAGGTTATTTTTTTTTTTTTTTTGGTTTTTCTCCGGTACCGGGAACCGAACTCACGACGTTGCGCTTGCCAGGCAGGCGCTTTTTGCCGCTGAGCTAAATCCCCAGCCCCTATCAAGGTTATTTTATTTCATGCATGTGAATCAGCCCCGTTCAAAGTTTCAGTGTCAAGAATTGGAGCCATAGTGGGGCTGGGGATTTAGCTCAGCAGCACAGCACCTGCCTGGCAAGTGCAAGGTCGTGAGTTCAATTCCTGGTACCAGAAGAAAAAACAAAAACCAAAAAAACCAAACAAACAAACAAACAAAAAAGGAATTGGAGCCATGGTCACTGATGGGACCCTAGTTTAGGTGTGATATGTGTTCTTGAAAGTAGACCTCCTCCTCCTTTTTGCCTCAGGAGCCCAGAATTATCCTCAACTGCACTGCTGGCATGGGAGCCTCCTCACCAGACTGCCAGTTCAGAGACAAGCTGACTTCACCCACAGTGACCCATAGGCTCTGCCATGCCAAAAGGGTGCGCTGAGCTGCGGCAAGACATTTGTGCTTTCTTTGTGGCCCCAGATGTGTTGTTCTGCTGTGGTCTCTTGTCCCTAAAGATGCTCAATGTACATGGTTCTCTTTTGAAGCCCTGAATTATGGAAGCCCATGGTGTTCATAACTGTTGGATTTTCATTTTTCTCTTTTTCTGCTTCCTTTGAAGGCTGATGATACCTATCTTCAGCTGAAGAAAGACTTGGAATACCTGGATCTAAAGGTAAGTGGTGTCAGGGTCTCTGCCTAAACTTTCTGAGAGTGGAACTGACCCCCAAAGCCAAAGGCCACACAGTCTTATCAAATCTGGATCCCAAATGAAGGCAGCTCTCTCAATCAGAAGAGTTCCACTTCTCACAGCTTCAAACTCTGGTTCTCTGCTCTTTTTTGTGAATTGTGCTTTGAGGTCTCTGGCTTACAAAATGAGGGCACAAGATCTTAATCTCTTCTTTCCTATGTTTAGAACTGAAAGTCCCTGTAAAAATGAACATTCACTTCTTCAGAGCCTCTGATGAGGACAGAAGTATATGCATGTGTTTCATAGGGAACTGCTGATGTCTGTTTTCCATCATGGGTGACTTGGTGGCTTTCTTGGTTTGGTTGTGGGGGAGAAGTTTCCACATAGACTTATATAACTCTGAGGCTCTCAGGTAACCTCTCTTCTGCATTTAGAGATGAACACTGGACCCCACTGTAGATGGTCAGACTTCAGGTCTGACTCAGCCTTCACAGCACCAAGGGTTCAAGAAGGCTTCTCTGGAAAGGAGGGGCATTCTTCCTGGAAGAGAGAGCAGCTATTGTCCTTCCCACAGCTCTCTGGAAGCTCCTGCTGTGGGCAGCCCTCCTATGCCTGAGCCTGCACCATGAAATAGTCTGAAGGAATGTGACCTTTAATCATTGAAGAGTGGGTGAGGAGCCTGTAGGACACCCAGGCACCTGCCATGAAGGCATTCCCTGCAGTCCCCAGTGTTCCAGACTAGAGATACTTTTAAACACTGGGTCTTCATCCACCCTTGCAGACCTGAGGTGAACGTTAAACCCTAAGGCAGCAGCAGATGAGGGGAGAAGGTTCTCGCCACAAGCACAGTCAGGGCCTTTGATTAGACATCAACCCATTCACGTAGGTATCTGTTGAGCACTTGCTGTATGCCCAACCCAGCTCTTCCAACTCTTCAGAAGATATGGGCAGATACAGGGGAAAAATTGAGGCTCTCTGGTCTCATGAAACATTCAAATGTCTAGGAGAAAGAAAATTTTCCCAAATATCAGATTTATGTGCAGTGACTATACAAAGATCTACTTGGTTCAGGTGTCACCTTAAGTCATGAGAATCACCATGGGCAGCTTGGAAGGCTTTGGAGAGCAGGTGGCATATGTGGAGCTTTGAAAAACCAGGGGAGTGGGGTTGTTGAGATTAAGGGAGAAAGAGAGCAAGAGGATGGTGGTATGGATAGGGCCACAGAAAGAAGGTGGAGGCAGATCCTATAGGTTCCTCATTCTACCCTGGGCCTTAGGAAAAAAAGTACAAAGCACGGAGGGATTAGAGAAGGAGAAACTGAGGCACAAGATAGCAGAACAGAACTAGGAGTTTCTGTGTGTCCTGTCTCCAACATCATATGTGCCAGTCACTGTGTTTTGCTTCTGTTAAATTATTTAGGCCTTGCAGTAGCCCAGTAAGGGAAGTGATGTTGTCATCTTTTAATTGACTGAGGCTCAGAGAAGTACATGACTTTCCCAGGGCCACACAAACATTTTTGAGAGGTAGGGGGGCAATATTTGGGTGTAGCTCTAACACTAAAGCTCATGTTCTTAATCCCCTTTCTGCATGGCCTCTCTCATAACAGTGATTCAAAGACTGCTGTTTCAGAGCTGAGCTCAGGGTATTAAGCTAAGAAATGTGTTTGGTGGAATAGAGGCAGGTTGCATCCTTGAGCTTGGGGTTAGGGTTAGGGTAACTCTCTAGGGCACATTTGTGACCAGAACATTTTCTAGTGATTCAACTTTGTAGACATTATCATCATCTGTCATAAAAACAGCTGTGTTGATACCAGAGATTTCCTGGTCTTATAGCTGCTACTCTAGTTGCTAAGCTGTTTTCAGAGAACTTGACTCCAAAACAAATGGCACTAGTGGCTGGGAAAGGCTTGGCTCAACAGTAGCACATGTGGGAAAAGATGCTGGGTCTTGTGCTATGTGCCCCTGAACTGATGTGGGTCCAAAAAAGGCCGGCACCTCCTCGATCTCCTGCAGAGGGGTAGGGGGCCTGCTTGCCCCTGCACAGACCTGGATGGAACATTGGGTTCTCAGATGAGTATCTCACTTCTAGAACCAGATGAGGCAAGAGCTGAGTTGGGAGAGGGATGAGGGCCCACAGAACTGAGGCTGAGTGTAATAGGTAGGATGCCGTTGTTTGTAGGCATTCAAAACCCAAATCAGCCCACTGAATGAGAAAGGGTATGTACTCCTTTCCATAGCCAGGAACAGCATTCCATGGGATTAGCTCACATCATCACTATTCTACCAGCCTCAACCCCTGCTGTAGAACCAGGGCTGCTTCCACCTGCATACCCAGGTCTCTCCCCCCACCCCTGCCCCCACCATCCTAGCAAGTTCTCCAGTGAGAGAGCTTGCTGGCTTGAAAGGAGATAGCAGCCATGACAGGTACAGTGCAGAACTAGAGCAGGAGTTACGGAAGACTCAGAGGAGATGTAGAGACAGAATCTGTAGAGCTCTGATGTGTGACTTTATGTTTCTGTGGCCACAAGGGAGAATTAAGGTAAGTGGATGGCTGCTATAAATAGTCAAGTTTTAGTGTAATCAAAGACTTTTCTAAAACGGTGGCCTCAAGTGGTGGTGAACTCCATGTCACCTGGGTACAAGTGAGGCTGCATGAGACTGGGTAGGATGAGTGATTGGATTAGAAAAATTCAAAGGTCCACTAGTCTTTAGATTCTATGACATGTTGGACAAAATGTAGCTGAGCTGAGGGCCTCTGTGGACATAACTAAATGGACTATCCTGCACATGGAAATAGGGAAACACCTACCCCCTAGGACTAGCTTCTTGTGAGAGGCCCCTCCTGTGACCCTGGGGGGTGAGGTAAGGAAATAAGCCTCTATGGAGAAAGAATCTTCCTGCCTGGAACCTGACCTGCTCACCCCCTCACTCTGCCATGTTGAATGTAGGGCCGTTCATATTCATGTCCCAAAGGCCAAGAACCCAGGACCATCCCTCCTTTGATCCGCTGACACTCAGCCTCCACAACCGGTTGGTGGTATTTGCTTCCTCATACTCTGTGGAGCTGTTTCCTTCTCAAGGGCCACCTTCCTGCTGTGGTGCCAGGTGGTCAAGGCACTCTCTCAGAAGATGCTCTGTAGTAATGCACCTATGAAGAGCACTTACTTCTTGGGTATTTTACTTGGTAGTGCCAAGATGAAAAGGACTCCACACTGATCAAGATCTGTTCCTGCCTGGTGCTGTGTTTGGGCACAGTTGGTGTTCATTTATGTTATTTAACCCTTGAGCAACCTTGAGCATAGAAATTATCCCTGTCTTTCCAACCAGGAACCCTTGTCTCAGAGGAATAAAGTAATTTCTACAAAATTACATGGCGGGGACTGAATTCACCCCTTATTATTATTTTTTTTTTATATACCACATGCTTTGCCATCCCTGAGTTGTCTTGAATTGTGTTTCTGGCATGGAAATTCTGTTCTATGGAACCCTGCACAACAGTTGGCTCCAAAGACTGGCTCTGTTGCAGGCTCCAGTCTTTTTTTTTTTTTTTTGGTTTTTCTCCGGTACCGGGAACCGAACTCACGACCTTGCGCTTGCCAGGCAGGCGCTTTGCCGCTGAGCTAAATCCCCAGCCCCAGGCTCCAGTCTTAAACTCTTAGGCTTAAATGGCCCTCCTGCCTCAGCTTTCCAAGTAGCTGGGACTACAAGTGCTTGCCACTGCATCTGGCTTTGAATTACTTTTATACAGCTGTGGAGTACAGCTAGGAAGGTGAGGTGAGGAGGTGTCCACAGCCGTGCAGATAGTACCTGTAGATAGGGATGGGTTGTAGTTAACTCCCAGGGTTGCTTAGTTTTGAAAATGCAGATCTGCACTAGGCATAGTATAAGTCTAGTCCCAGCCATTTGGGAGACTGAGACAGAAAGAGCGCTTGATCCTGGGAGTTTGAGGCCATCCTGAGAAACATAGTGAGACCTTTTGTCTTAAATTTAAAAAGTACGGATCTGGACTTTTCAGGTAGATCAGCTGAGCCAAAACCCCTCGTGCAGGTGGGAAGGGTGGAAGATGGGCAGAACTCTATAGGTGTTTGTAATGTCTAGTGGAGAAAAATTGGTTCAAAGTGCTGGTTTTCAAAATGTGATCTCTGGGCCAGCAGCATTGGCAATACTCTGGAAGTTGCATCCTACCCCAGATCTGCCCAATGAGAATGTCTGGGATGCGGCCCCATATACCTGATTATTAGCAAGTCTTCCAGGTGGCTCTGATGCACACAGTAGAGCTTAAGAACCACTGACTTACAGCAGCAGTTCTCAGTCCTGGCTGCACATTAGAATCACTCAGGAGGCCACTTAAAAATCAGGATCCATCTGGGCGTAGTGGCACACACCTATAATCCCAGCACTCAGGAAGCTGAGGCAGGAGGATTGTTGAGAGTTCAAGGCGAGCCTGGGCTACAAAGTGAGCGCAAGGCCAGCCTGAACTGCAGAGCAAGACCTGGTCTCAAAAAAAGACTGACTGACTGAATAAATAAATAAAAATCAGGATCCTTAGGGTACACCTCGGGCATCAGTCTTTTTAAAAGCTCCCCGGAGGAGCTGGGGATTTAGCTCAGTGGCACAGCGCCTGCCTGGCAAGCACAGGTTGTGAGTTCGATTCCCGGTACCGGGGGGGGGGGGGGGAAACTAACTAACTAACTAACTAAATAAATAAAAGCTCCCCAGATAATTCCAGTCTTTAGCCAAAGTTGAAATGAGGGTGAGGACAGTGCTTCCTAAAAGGAGCTGTTGAGATCTGAGACTGTTGGTCATACTTGAACTTTTAGATGCTGTCCACATGTGGAGGTGGAGGTTTGAGGAACAGAAAGTGAAAGTTCTTGTTGGGGTAAGGCTGATGCCTCCTAGTAGCACTCTAAACAAAGCTTTGATATCTCAGAGTGTGATGAGGGTAGCAAGGAAGACGCAGACTTCCCTGCTATGATGTTCCTTTGCTTGCTGTGGCAGCACCAGGGAGGAAATGGGCACTGAAATGGGTCTCGCATACAGACAGCCTGCACATGATCCCATCACTTAGAGTTGAATGTCCCACAGTTTACAGAGGAGAGAACTGGAGTCCAGAAAGGTCCTGAAGCTGGGACCCCATAGTGTCACCAAGGTTTACTTTAATTGCACTGTGCGCATCCTCCTTAAGGTTCCCCCTTTGCTACTTCCCCAAATTCTGGCTGCTTCAAGTGTCATTCAATGTCTCACTTGTTATGTTTTGTTGTATTTGCCTTTTTGTTTGGAACAGATTAAAAATAATGAACCTTTGATCAACGTGCTTTACAAAGTGCTGAAGAAGTCAGCACTGGGCTGTCGGCCCAGGAGAAGCGTAAGATGATCTGATCTGTGTCTCCGAACGGGGCCATTCCATTGCTTCTGGCTCAGTGCCGGCTCCATCACTTGCTTAACCAGTTGCTCTCCTGATCGCCCCAGGCTTCCCGCAAGTCATTTCGGTTTATTTTCTTTAAATTTTAGCTTTCTTCAGCACTGTGGCTGATGCACCAGGCTGGGCCGCTCATCTGTGGTGTTCCGTGACTCCATCTTTTGTGCTTCCAGTGGGTGGGGGGCTTGCCTGGCTTGCCACCAGCTTGTGTCGTGTTTCCATTGTCACTTGTCTGCCTCCATGGTGAGGGCACACCTAGACAGGGATGAGCATGAATTTCTTGGGAAGGAACAACAGTTACTGGTCACCTAGAGGGAAGCCAGGTCAGATTAGGATGTTGATATTTGGATAATAGTCCAGAGCTAGACTAGTACTAAGCAGTCACCTCAAGCCCCACTGACACAAATGTATAGGCACTATGATGTGACCAGCTCGTAGCGTTCTAAGGGAAGCTGCAGGTGGGGTGCGTGTGTTGTATCTAGCCATCCTAAGCCCCAAGAACATGTGTTGGGATGTAGTGAAGGCAGGTAAGATGCCCAGGGGCCCTTTGATTCTCTTCTGATGCAGTTTTTTTCTAGTGGGTAAATGCCCAGGGACTTTTCAGTTTTTTCTGGCAACTGATACTGGGTGCGGGGGGGGGGGGGGGGAGTGGCACTCACTGTTGATAAAATTAAGCGGATTTAAATATTGCTATCACAGAGCACAAGGAAACTTAGCTAAGATGCTACTTGTTGATGTAACATTTCTTAGTAGCCTTTGTTCTCTGGAGCAGAGCTAAATTCAGAGATTTTAAGGCCTCTGAGCTGTGTAAACAACTATCAGAAAGCCCTGCTCTACAGCCTGTGGCCTTTCCACCGCAGGAATCAGAGCTGACCTTCCCGATTTTGATACATTCATGAAGTCACTAAACAAACATTTTACAAATATCCTCAATATGCTAGTCCCTGGCTGGGCCTTGAGGATACAGAGAAATACATCCAAGTTGCTACAATAACCCTTATTAGATTGCTGTCTAGAGGGTAGAGGCAGATGAGCAAAGAGAGGCTTGTAATCTGCTGTGCTAAGTACCACAGCAGCGTTAGGCCCAGGGTGTGGGAGAAATACCCTGAAGAGCACCAAATCCAGTCTGAGTGGGGAGAGAGAGCTAAGTACTTCACTTCTGTGGAGCTTTTGAGCCCTTTGGATTCCTAACTCACAATATCTTATAAGCAGCACACTAATGGAGACCAGGAAGAATCTATTTCCTGGAAAAAGGGAGTGCTAATATCCTAAGAGGGGGGTTGAATATATATTTAGTATTCTAGGAAGACAGCGAAGGGCACACATTTAGAAAGCTTTCTATTAGAAGTTTAATTTAGAAAATTTCGCTTTCTCAAAGTGCCCTTTTTGTATAGAATGTCTCATTTCATTCCTGATGGTGCTAGATAAATGAGGCATTGCTCAGTTAGATTCTCTGCCTTGTTATTTAAGCATCAAATGAAAAATATCCTCTATAAAAAGCTTCAATGAAATAAGGGGAAGAGTTTTGCCGGGGGAAAATCCCTGAAGCATATCTCAATTTGAAAGTGTTTTCTACCTAGGAAATGAGCCAAGGATTGGCCCACTGGAGAACAAGCAAACCCACTGTCTCCAACTTGTGACCTATAGCAAAGATCTCACCATTTTTCACCTGCTTGTTGTCCTAGGTTCCCTTGAGTTTAAAGCCCAAATGCTGCTGGAAAGTCCAGCTGTTTGGGGGTCACCAGGGTTAATTCTGTACCCTCCTTCTCCCTCTCCTCTCCTCCATCTCAGGATACTGCAGTGTTTGTGGATTGTTGTAGGAATCTGTGTTCTACAACTATATACATGTATGCACACATGATCTGCCAGTTTGAGCAACCAAACTTGGCTGGAGTTCTGCTCTTTCCAGGAACTTCCACTAAATTACATTTCCCTTTGACCTAAATGCAGCTGAGTAAGCATTTGCTGAATGGCTGTCATTGTCATTCAAGGGTGTGCCATGCTAAGACAGTGGTCCCTGTGCTTTACTGTGTGACCGAAGAGATCCCGGGAATGTAGTTTGCTTCTGTAAGCCAGAATCAGTCCACAGCCCTAAGCATGAAGAGGTTACTTTCCCTTGACCTTAATCTCGACCTTTGAAGTGGGTGCTGCTGATTTTCAGAAAGGATTATAGGACATTTGGGCAAAAGGGTAGTTTGAGCTCTGAGGGGAATGACTGCCACCATATTTTAGCTGCTGATCACATTCAGACTTCCAGATGGAGTGGGGAGAAAGCAAAGGCCATCACTCCATAGCACACATCCTGCCTGTGTCTACTGTGGTTAGTCCTACTCTCCCTCTCAGCTAGTCATATCTGCAAATGGAAGTCAGAATGATATTCTCTCTACTACATGAGGTGCGTTACACCTGGCTTTCCTGGCCTTGTCTTCACCATGCGGGTAAACCTGTGTAAAAGCCACCCTGTGCAGCTTTTGACCAGGAGACTTGAGGGAAATGAAAGCAAGGAGTACAGTGGAATTCATCTTCTTAGGATCCAGTGAGAGATGGGCAACGTGCTGCCCACTGTGGGTTGGCTTAGGATGTTTAATGTGAAATCCCATTCACCTATAAGTTTGGGTGACTTTTGTGTTTCTTTGTGGCTTCCTTTCTTAAGAGGATGAGGTAGGTTGTAACTTTAAAAAGTACAGCCTTGCCTTAGTTATTCAGGAATCAACAAAGACCTTAGCTGGAAATTATCCACCTTCCTTCTTTTCTTGGTCAGGTCCTCTTCCCTAACAGTATAGGGTGAGGAAGGCTGGACTAATGCATGTGGATCAGGGCTGCTCAGAGACTTCTTAAACTGAGACTTGAGCATGCTCAGGGGATTTGCTTGTTCCCTCTGGCCTACCCACCCCTGGACCTGGATAGGGGGTGAGAGACTTCTGTAACTTCTGTTTGTCCCTAGGTTCAGCAGCAAACTTATCAGGGGCAAATCTTCCAACGTTCATACTGACCTTACATTTGTTTTGAACAAATACATGCTTTAAAAATTAATGTTCTTATAACTTGAGCATTTGCATTTTCTTAAATTTGAGAATTTATAAGTGCTACTAGGATCACAAAAGATTTTAGTTTCTTTTTAAAATGAAATAGGCATAGAAATAAAGCAGATATTGCTTGAGTTTTTGTCCCTTTCGTGCCCTGAGACTTCCACACCCATCCAGCATAGGGCTAATTTGCCCTCCTGAGTTCTGATTCCAAACACCATGGTTAAGTCTTCTTTAAATTGTTCACCTCCCAGATGACAGGCCGGGACCTTCTCAAGGATCGAAGCCTGAAGCCTGTGAAGATTGCTGAGAGTGACATTGATGTGAGTGAGCTGTGACTGACCCCTCAGCTGCCTTCTGACCCAGGCTCAGCGTGGCCACTTCTGGCAGGGTTTGAATAGTCCTGTAGCCAGAGGCTCTCTGGTCACACTCCTGAGGCCATGCCCTATTGCCGTCCTCCTGGGCCCTCCCAAACTTTTTCTTGCTTATAGGTCAAACTGAGCGTCTTTTGTGAACAAGATAGGATCCTCCAGGACCTGGAAGATAAGATTCGAGCCCTCAAGGAGAACAAAGTAGGCATCAATTTTGCAACATTTTGGTGTGGCTGGAGGGACAGTTTGTGCCCTCTCTTTCCTGAGACATTGCTTGTATTCTGCTGTTAGTATTGAACAATAGGTGCTAGTTTGTCCATAGCAGTTCATTTAATTCAGAAGTTTTTCTTGGGGGTTTTTGAGCCTGAGGAACAAGTAGGGGATCACTTATACGGATGCCCTAGCTTACTGGTTCCAATTCCTCTCCCACCTCCCCTATTCTACTGTGGCCTTGAGGGGGGAGCTCTGTACCCCCTGGGAAGGCTGCTTGGCACCTGGGCCCCTTGTGAAGGAACTACCTTGGAGATGGCTATAGTCCTAACAGAGCAGAGACCTTCACTTCCTAGGGCTGCTTTCCACCCAAGCTGGGCTGTGGAGGCAGCAAGTTTTGATAGGGCAGGAATGGGCCTGAGGCCAGCAGTGTTGGCTCTCTTAGACTCTTAAAGTGAGATTTTTTTTCTTTGTGCATTTCATTTTAATGCTGAAGGTTTTTAGCATACCTTTTTTTTTTTCTAAAGAGCTTCCAAAGTTTTCCATCAGCTCCTTGATTTAGCCTCATAGTTTATCCCATAGAGAGTTAAATGGCTTTATGCCCAGTTTATAGGTGAGGAAAAGGAGGCACATCACTGTTAGGAGCCTTATCCCATGGACAGAGTCATTGCTGGCATCGGGGCCCTGGCTCTCTGGCCCCTTCTCTGTGGGTTAGATCCAGCAGCTTTTAGATTCCAGGCATGGTGTGGGGAGGCTTGTGGGAACTATGCGCTATTGTGTTGCTCTGCGGCCCCTCCCTGGCACAGGATCAGCTAGAATCCGTGCTGGAGGTGTTGCACAGACAGATGGAGCAGTACCGAGACCAGCCACAGCACTTGGAGAAGATTGCCTACCAGCAGAGGTTGCTGCAGGAGGACCTGGTCCACATCCGAGCAGAGCTCTCCAGAGAGTCTACTGTGCGTATGGGCTGTGAAGGACAGACCTCTTCCCATAGGACAGTCTGGCCACTTTCCCCAGTGTTAGTTGAGTTGGTGGCCAAGGGCGAGTGTCTTAAAGTAGCAGAACTTCTCTATGCTGCCTCCTGATAGCAGCTTGTCCAGGGATGACATGTCTGTCTCCACCTGTGCCTTAGGCTGCTTTCCATCAGTGACCCCGGGACATTCAAGGGACCACATTTCTCAGAGCAGCCCATAAACTCTATTCTGATCTGTGTGCAGTTAACTTTAAGATAGTAGGCTTTCCACTTTTTCATAGGTCAGTCTGATATGCTATGGGTTGCTTTGCTAGAGCAGGGATTGGAAGCATCCCTAAGTAGAAGAGGGCACAGTTCTGATGGCCAGGGTCAGATACCACACTCCCTCCTGCTCTTACCTCTCTCACCAGGATGGCCTGAGGCTCCCTGGGCTACCTTCCCTCTCTCCCCCTCTGACTGGGTCTACAGAAGTCTCAAGACTGCCTTGGGGACAACTAGGGGGTGGTGAAGTGGGGGCTAATTAGGGACCAGGGCTTTTCCTTGGCCAACAGGAAATGGAGAACTCCTGGAATGAGTACCTGAAGTTGGAGAGTGATGTGGAACAGCTGAAGCAGACCCTGCAGGAACAACACAGACGAACCTTTTTTTTCCAGGTGACCAAGGGTTATTCACCCCTCTGAGCTCTGGGTGCCTCTGAGGACCCAGTATGTGGGGGCTGTGAGCACTGCCCCAGCGCTTCTCTTCCTCAAACCTATGAAGTGGCCACCCTCAGCTCTCTTTTGGGTGTCTTTTGTCAGTGATGAAAAGCCTCACCCGGTGCCCCGCCACCTTTCTGCTCTTAAAGACTAACTCTTGGTGTTTTGGGAGGGGGTTTCCTCTTGCTCATTTGGGGAAGAAGACCCAAAAGGAGAGAGGTGTGAGAGTGATGAATGACTCCCTCGTGGGCTACTGGCTCCCCATTTAGACAGGTAGCACCAGAAGCCCCTCCTTCCTTCCTCTGATCCTTGGAGGTAGGTAGATGCTACCATCCTCTGCCTAGGAGAGAGTGTGAATTCAGTCCATTGAGGTGCCTCTGGGCCTCCTGGCACTCAGGTGCACTTCTGGAGCCCAGGTTGGAGGAGACCTGTTTCTGGGGCTCCTGTCCCACTTGAGGAAGGCTGCCTTATAGCCCTGCTTCTTTAATTTAAAACCCAGGCTACCATGTGCATAGCAACCAGTGTTCCTCTCAGGTGAGGCAGTGAAAGGCCCTAGGGAGTCTTCTTCCAGATTAGGTTCCCCAGTAGCCCCATGTTCCCCCACTGTGGTGCCTAACCAGGCTTCCATTCCACCTTCATAATTTTAAAAATGGAAATTAACCTGCTTTCCAACCTAGCTTCAGATATGTATCTCCTTTCTAGGCCCTGACAGAAGTTCACTTTGTTTGAATTAAGCAAGCATTTGTGGAGATTTCTTGGGTATGAGGCACCATGCTGCACCAGTTTTGGTGCTGGGCTTGCTAGTTGGTAACCCAGACTCCTCATGCAGGTGACCTAATGAAGATGTAGACTCTCTGGGCATTAGCTTCACCTTAGCTAAATTCTGGAGGGAGTTTAGGTTTGAGTGTCCTCAGGCTTTTCCAAGGACTCCACTCGCTCAAAGATGGTTCCTAAAGAGCCTAGCCCAGGACCATGTGAAAGAGGCTCTTGCCTCTGGCTCAGGGATGATTTAGAGGCTCCCCAGAACTTGTCTGTGTCCTGCTCTTGTGCTCCCCACCCCCATAATTTCCCTTTATGGAAACTAACATTTTCCTATTTTTTTGTATCCCCAATACTAAGCATAATGGCTTGAAAACAGTAGGCAAGCAGTAGTTCCTAGAACTATCGTTACCTTTTATACCTATCTTCTTGGGCTTCTGTGATCCACACTAAGGCCTGGAAGTGTGGCTTAGTGGTAGAACACTTGCCTAGCATGAACAAGACCAGGGTTTTCCTCCCAGGACTGAGGAAAAAAATAAGATCCATACTAATTTTAGCAGTATTTTTAATAGCTTTTCATTCTTTATTTTTCTGTGGTTATACAAGTAATACATGAATGCATCTGTCTTAAAAGGCCAAGCAATGAGCTGGGTGTAGTGACACACATGTGATCTCAGTTACTTGTGAGGCTGAAACAGAAGGATCACAAGGGACCAGCCTGGGAAACTTACTGAGACCCTGTCTCAGAATAAAATATAAAGGGCTGTGGGTATAGCTCAGTTGTGGAGGGTCCCTGAATTCAACCCCCAGTACCCACCCTCACACACAGCCAAACAATGAGAGGCAAAACAAATGACACAAAAGCTTCTCTTTCCATCCCTTTCAGCCCCAATCCATCACCTTGCCTGCATGGAGTCCATGCTGTTTGTGATGTTGCCTTCCTGTCCCTTTTCTATGCATTTCCAAACATATGCACCAGCATAGTATCATATCATTTGTTTGGGAGTGGGAGCAAGTAAAAGGCTTGAAGAGTGAGATCATACACATTGTGTGGCAACTTCCTTTTTTGTCATAACTTTTTGTTGTGGAATGATACTCTGAGTTTGTGCTGCTCCAAAAAATAGTTCTTTAAATTTAAATAGAAATTCATGAAAGCATAGATTAGAGTTTCATAATCTCAGAAACTTGTATTTCTGAGATTTCTTTAGGGCCAATCTAAGTAAATCAGTTCTTCTTGATTGGTACCTACTATTTCATTGTCTGGATACTCCCTACTTTGTTGAACCATTCCTCTTCTGGTGGGCGTTTAAGTTATTTCCAGTATTTTGCTTTTTATAAATGATGCTATTGTGAGCAACCAACTACCTGTTTGAGCTCATTTGTAAGTGTTTACCTAAGATAGGCTCCTAGGAGTGGAGCTGAAAGGAGTGCATATCTTTGAGGTTGACATTACCACAGTAGGATGGCCACAGAGATGATCTCATACCCTATATCTCAAAAAGATGGAAGAAATTATTTTGAATATTTCACCCTAAAGAAATAATAAATGTTTGAGAAAATAGATGTGTTTACCTTGATTTAAACATTACACAATGTATATACACATTGAAATGTCATGTTGTACCCCATAAATACATATAATTTTTATATATTTTTGGATCAGTTAAAAAATTAAATACAAAAAAGATTGACAAGTATTGCTGAATCACCCTCTAGCAGGCTGCACTAACTTACCGTCCTACTTAGAGTGAATGAGAACACTTAACCATGTTTGCCCTTATCCTAATCAGAACTTGGTGTTATCAGCCTTTTTATTTTTTGCCAGGTCTGCTGGCTAAAAGAAAAAATGCATTAATCTGTTTAATCACGGGTAGGTTAAACATTTTTTCATGTGTTTACTTGCCATTTGTGTTGCTTCTGTGCTTTCTTTCATAGTGATTCAATTTATATTAGGCCAAGAATCTTTATCCCTCCAAAACACAGGTCAGCACAGGGTAACAGATCTTGTCACAGATTTCCTGGAGGATTTACTCATGTAGGCTTCTGGCAGATAGGTTAGTTTGGAGCCTGGTACCTGTGGCTTGATTTCCATCTAACCTCATCGTGTTGCTCATGTTTTCCCTGAGTGCCTCAATGTCTGAGGAAGTCATAAAGCCCTGATTTGACTAAGTTCTGTGCTAGCTCCTCTGTTGTAATCCTAGGCCAGGCAGACTGTCAGTGCTCTACATACATCATTAGCACTGCAGGTATGCCTGCAGTCCAAATGGAAATTCTTAGAAAGTAGGCTTAGAAATTCACCTCATGTTACTCAGATCTATCTGGCTGTAAGAAAACCCATAGCTTTTTCACCAAAGTAGGATGGCATTACTTTGGAAGGTCCTCACATTCTGACCTTTGCTCCTCTCTGCTGTTCTTTTACATGTGGAGGTGTCAGAAAGGCAAAGCAGGGGCAGAAGAGTGGGCTGATAAGAGCTTTGCTCAGGAGTTATGGAGGAGGCAAAGGAGGCCTTTTATTCCCAGCCTTCACTCGCTCGCAGCATTCAGCGGAGAATCCTCTGTTACCTTATGCAATCTGGGGTCAGCAATGAGCCTGCCTGTCTTGAGTGTGGAGCTGAGTACCACAGCCATGCCTTGCTTGAAGGCTCTGAGGGTGTCTTTGCGGTTGGGATGCAGAGATTAGGAGCATCTACCCTTCCCCATGGAGTCTTCCAGCATCTGCTGCTGTGGCTGCTGGATGTAGTACATGATTATGTCCTTTGTTCATCCAGCTCACACGCACTAGAAATCCACTGAGTATCAGGCTCCCGGGAGCAGGTCATCTGGAGTACAGAATCTGATGGATCACTAGGGATTGTGCAGTATGAAAACTCTTCCAATTGAGGGGCAGCTGGTCTCCTGGAGAGAAGAAAAACTATTCTTTCAGTCTGTGGGTTGGGGCCAAGTCGGTCTTCGCTCCATTATAATTTAAAAGTCAAAAGATTATTAACTCTGGGATAGGGTGTGGCTCCGTGGTACAGTGCTTGTTATCCTGCATGAGCAAGGCCCCTAGGTTTGATCCCTAGCTCCACCCCCCCAAAAAAAGCATACTACATTTGATTTTGTTTTAGAAATCAGAAGATAGCCACAATCCCTTAACCCACATTAGACCTCTGTTTACCTCTTTTAAGACCTCCTTCCATCCAGTTTTAATTGTAACTGCATATGATCATATGGTATAGCTCTTTTTCTGTTGAGCTTTTTTAAAAACAGCTTTACCATATAACTCACATACCACAAATCCACTCTTAAAGCACTGTATACAACTCAGCATATTTAGTATGTTCACACAATTGTGTAACTGTTACCACAGTTTTATGACATCTTCATCAACCCTTAAGAGAAGCCCTCTCCACCCACTTTATCCCCCCTCAGCTAACTCCCTCTTCCTCCCAGTTCCCCACTCTACTAAGCCCCTTTTGGTGTCTGTAGATTTACCTTTTGTGGACATTTTATATGGATGGAATCATATAACATGTGGCATTTTGTATCTTATATCCTTAAAAAAGTTTTCAGAGTTCATGCATGATGCATGTTGTGACCAAATAATACTCCACTCTCCATTATACTTTAAACTGCAAGCCCCAGGATTCTGCTCCTTTAAGAAATAGCCTTTATATTCTAGAGATGGTGTCTTTGCCTTGTCCTCTTGTCCTTGCCTTCCCTCCCCTTCTGCAGTAGTTGCATAAGACCATGTTTTTTTTTAAACTTGTAATAAACTACACATAATATACCATAATTTACTATCTTACCCATTTTAAGAGTGCAGTTCAGCAGTACATTCACATTTTGTGCACCCAGTCCCCCAACTTTTCATCTTTTAAAATTTTTAAACATCTCACTGTCCTCCATTCCTTCATTCCTCACAACTCTGTTCTACTTCCTGTCTCTATGAAATTGACTACCCTGATTACTTCATAGAATAAATGGAGTCCTAAAGTATTTAAAGTTTTATATGAGGTAGAAATAGACAAGCTTAAGTAGTAAAAGCTACTGCAGGACTCCCTAGGTCTTCAGCGTTTTCCATATTTCTGCTTCCCTGGGAGGCTGTGCAAAGGCTTGATTCTAGCCTGGTGCAATTTCCAAAGAGGAGAGTACTGCCACCCCGGCCCCCCAAGGGAGAGGCTCTGTCTGAAATGGCAGAGTAATACTGGGAAGAAAATTCTAGAAAGGAGCTAAGAAAAGACCAAACCACCACCTTATCTCTTCCAGGAGAAATCACAGATACAGAAGGACCTGTGGAGGATTGAAGATGTCCTTGCAGGTCTGAGTGCAAATAAAGAAAACTACAGAATCCTGGTGGAATCGGTCAAAAATCCTGGTGAGGGACCATTGTCCTTGCTGTGTGGACATTATGCACATTATACCCTTGCTGAGGGACCATTGTCCTTGCTGGTAGGGCTGGGCAGATGGCTCTCGGGGAGGCAGAGTCTCTGTGGTGCTGACTTCCCCTCTGAGGAAGAGGGTCTTCATTGCATCCCTCTGTGCCTCTCAGAGAGAAAAACAGTGCCTTTGTTCCCTCACCCGCCTGTGCCTTCACCCTTGACCTTGGAGAGCAAGTCGCCCCCACAGCGCAGCCCTCCTGCCAGCCCAGTGCGGACCCCTCTAGAAGTTCGGCTGTTCCCACAGCTGCAGACCTATGTGCCCTACCGACCTCACCCGCCCCAGCTAAGGAAAGTGACATCCCCGCTTCAGTCACCAACTAAGACAAAGCCCAAAATGGTAAGCTGTGGTGATGAGGTGCTAAGAGCCTTTGTTCCCTGTCTGTCCTCAGATCAGCTAGCTACCTTATGGGAGGTAGCTCTTGGGAAAACAGAGATAGATGTCAGGATTGGCAGAGCCCTGGGAGATGGTCTAGTCCAGCCCTCTCATTTTGCAGTTGGGACAGTTGAGGCCAGGCAAGAAGTAGTGACTGTTCTGAATAGCAGCCAATTAGTAGAATGTGTAGTTGTCCAAGAGGCTGTCTTGTAGGGAAAAGGAGCTCCTTTAGCAGAAGCTGAGCGCTGTGCTGGGCTGTGTGTATGCTTGTGAATGTCCTAACCTCATGGCATAGGGAGAGGAAGGGCAGTATGCCTGCCTGTCCCATGGAAAAACTAATGCTTTTAGAGAAAGGAAACCAGTGCCTCAAGATGTTGAAAGCTGCTGAAGTTCTCCATGTTAGTGCTGCCAACTACATCTGCTGACTCTTTTATTCGGTCGCCATCCATCTAACTGGGTCTTCCGCCCAGGTCCTTGGCCAGGTCTGTGGTCCATTTGTTGGGCTGGGCCAAGGCCTTGGCTTGCCTGCCATAGTGAGGGATCAAGCTCTTGGCAGGGTCTGGGGACACAGGAGATTTTAAAGAGACAGAAGAACATGGGCTCAGGAGGCCTGTGCTCTGGTCTGGGGGCACAGTATATGTAGGTGGCACTTGGAGTAAAAAGGAAGTGTAGGAATTAAAGAGCAGAACAGAGTTGATGCGCAGGCACTTCCCCTCTGCGTAGCTTCTCCAGAGGAAATGTTCACGTGCCACGGTGGAGGTGCTCATGCTGTGTGGCTCAGAAGTGGCCAGTTGTGCCCCATGGGCTACTACTGTGGCAGTGCCACTTGGCAGTCCTCCGTGTGGCTCTTGACCTGCTGGGTATTGGCTCTGGCTTTCTCTCTGAGCAGGAAGATGAGGCACCTCCTAGGCCCCCGCTTCCTGAACTTTACAGCCCAGAGGACCAGCCGCCTGCTGTGCCCCCGCTCCCGAGGGAGGCCACCATCATCCGGCACACTTCTGTGCGGGGCCTCAAGCGGCAGTCAGATGAAAGGAAGCGAGACCGGGAGCTGGGGCAGTGTGTGAATGGGGACTCGCGGGTGAGCTGGGAGGACCCCTGAGGCTGCCCCTGTGTGTGGGGAGAGGGAAGGCGGTATGACATTGGGCGGGTCTGACAGCCTCAGACTACCCACAGGTGGAGCTCCGGTCGTATGTCAGTGAGCCGGAGCTGGCCACCTTCACTGGGGACATGGCTCAGCACTCCCTGGGACTCGTGGGTCCTGAGAGCAGGTACCAGACGCTGCCAGGCAGAGGTAAGGCAACACCTGTGGAGTCTTTCGGAGACCCCACCATTGCACCGCACTGCCACCACTCACAGCCCAGGCCCACACCCTCTGCCTGCACCTGTGGGCCGGGCTGCTGGTCTGCCCTCCTCTGACCTGAATCCTGACTGTCCTTGCCTCATCTGTCCCTAGAAACTGTGATGATAGTAATCGCTGTAAATCCTGGCGTGGTGTAGGCACTTCATAGATCCCCCATATTCATAACAGTGCTGCGAAAGAAGTACTATTATTCCCATTTTTGAGATCAGGGAGCTAAGGGAAATTAGCTAAGCTCAGAGAAATTACTCACCTTGCCAATCGCTGACTAATGAGGGAACCAATTACAGTCCTGGGGCTCTGGCTCCATACCACCGCAGCCTGCAGGCAAGGCCATCTCAGCCTTCCAGAGAGCTTTTTCCTCTATGTCACCCTAAAACTAGTGAATCCTTTTTTAAACACACTTCTCCTCAGTTGGGCCCCCTTCTTGCTGTCCTCCCTTATCCCACGTAGGGTTGTGTAGGGTATGTATGAGTGTCAGGAAGCAGAAGGATGAGGGTACTCTTCACCCCGCCAGCCTTCCCACCTGTCCTGCAGCCCAGGATTTCTGCATAGAAAGAAAGTCTAGGGTAGTTCTTAGATCTCCAGGGACACTATCCCCCCCTGGGGACAGAGGGCACCCCTGGGCTGCCCCCACCCTCTACCTAGGGCCTTGTTCTTCCAGGCCATGAGGAGAAAGAAGAGAAAGGTGATGGTTGGCGGGGCCCTCTTGGCCCCTCCTGGGAGTGGGGGTGATCAGGGAGTGGCCTGGGACTGTCCCCGCTGCCACAATGCAGCTGACTCTGCTTTCCTCACGAAGGGCTCTCCGGGTCCACATCCCGGCTCCAGCAGTCATCCACCATTGCGCCCTACGTCACACTCCGGAGGGGTCTAAATGCCGAAAGCAGCAAGGTGACCTTCCCTGTGAGTGGCCTTGAGCTATGGGGGAGCTCACTGTTCCTTCACCCCAGTGGGTGGGGGGCTTAGAGCCGGACAGTAACTAGTGATCCTGTGACACCAAGGATGGCCTCTGAGAGGTGACCTCAGCCTCTTAATGAGCTCAGGGTCCCTATGACCCACTGCCCACTGAGAAGGCCATTACTCTGCCTTCCCCACTTTCCGCGGCCCACACTTACCTGCAGTGTGTCAGGGTCAGGGGAGGGAGCACAGGAAGTCTTACACCCTGGGCTCACTGTGGTCTGCCGTGAGCACCTGGGCAGACATGGGCCTCCATGGCTGTGCCCGAAGAGTGGCTGTTGCCCAGAAGACTCATGAGGCCAGGGTACAGGGGCTTAAAGGAAGTGGTTCTCTGTGGAGCCCAGCTGGAGAGTGAGGGAGAGCAGGAATAGGGTGAAGCCAGTGGGGCAGCTGTTCCCTTCGTGCTCCTAGCCCAGCCTCTCTGTCTTGCCTCTTCTTCCTCCTCAGAGACCCAAGAGTGCCTTGGAGCGCCTATACTCGGGGGACCACCAGCGGGGCAAGATGAGTGCTGAGGAGCAGCTGGAGCGCATGAAGCGGCACCAGAAGGCCCTGGTCCGCGAGCGCAAGAGGACACTGAGCCAAGGAGAGAGGACAGGCCCAGCCTCAGCTCGATACCTCGGCCAGCCGCTCCCTGGGGACCTGGGCTCAGTATGTTAGGCAGGCGGGCTGGGGTAGGGAGCAGAGCTGCCCCTTGAGCTGAGCAGAGCTTACTGGGTCCCCTGCACCCAACCATGGTGGGCTGTTTGTTGACCCAGCCAGCTGAGAGAACATCCCACAGGGAATATTTGTCCCAGCCCGAGGCTGCATGTGTCAGCTGGTCAGAGGGTGACCTAGAAGTGGAGCGGAGGCAGGAGAATCTCGCCACAGAGGCCTGGGAGCTGGAGACAATATGCAGCCTGTTCTCCCAGCCATGCTTGGGAGGGGCCTTTGCAGATCCCACAACTGAACTAAGGACTTGGGAACATAGGGTTCAGGGAGTAGTGGAGGAAGATGGTGATGTGATTTGATGAGCACGAACCAACCAGCCAGCCTCCCAGACTTCCAAGGAGATCCTTGGAAGGGAAGGCAGCCAAGGGCTCTCACAGCCCCAGTGATTGCTCCCCTATTTCTGCACCAGGTGCTGAGAGACCGCAGGCCCTCAAGAGTGAAGGGGTGCTGCCCCTGGTGGTGCTCCCTGGCGCCGCACCTGTTCAGCCCCCTTCGATCCCTTTTTGAAACATTTCATTTGACCTTTTCCATTTGAAATCCCTCATTTCCCTAGACCTCTAGTCTGACTGTTCTTTCCCTGATTCATTGCACAAGCTCTTTTGCTTTTAGAATTACTGCTCATTGCCTTTCTAATCCTGCCTGATTGTGTTTACAGAAGCTTTCAGTTTGCACTGAACATTGTCTAACTGACCTGTGCTGCTTGTTACCAGGCTTGTAATAGCAGCTTTTGTCTCCCCAGCCTAGCAAGCACTCCCAGGTGTGACTTACCTTTCCACTGCCCTCCTTGGTGCAGGACTACTGACTCACAATTCACCTGCCCCCAGAGCTGCCCCACAGCCTGAGCCAGCCCCACTGCCTGAGGACCACAGTCATTGGCAAAGGTCTGGGCAGTATCAGATTATCCAAACCCATGCGTAATATGCCTGATGGTAAACATGGATTCCAGAGATGGCACATTTGAACAAGTTTCACCCTGGCTGAGGTTGTTTGGTTTAATTCCTCTGGTTCCATCACGCAATCTCTTACGGAAAACCTCTTGTGTTTCTTATATTTAATAACTTGAATGAGTAGCAAAATAAACTTTGTATTCAGGAGGCGTTTTTGTAGCTATTAGCTAAGATACCAAAAGGTAAGAAATGGGACAGTCATGTCTTTGAAATCTACAAACTTGGAAACTTTTAAACTTTATAAGCAAATGTCATATGGAGTAATACTGGCATTTTACAAGCTGATGTTGCAAATGTAGAGATTATCTAAAAATTCAAACTTGAATTCCTTGTGATTTCCCTCATGAGAAAAGACTTTTGTAAGTCCCTACATCAGCGCCAATAAACGTGTTGCTTACTAACAATGGATTGGCGTGGTTCTTCCCTAGGACACTTTAGAGTCTAGTGAACTTTCCCTGTCTGTGGAAACAATCAGGCTGGGTTTCAGTGAGGACTGGTCTCTTATTTGGAGCATTTGCGAGCATGTAAGAAAATGTGATTTTTCTTTGCGAATCATTAAATTAATTTATCCTTGATCTTCAGCTGCTTAATCTTTTCAAACTGTAATTGGAAAACCATCAGCCAAGAGCGATTACATTGATTTGAGCTAAGTATCGAGAGCTTGTGCGTGAATGGGTGAAATATGCTGATGTGGCTGTGGGGTTGGGGTTTTGGAGAGACTTGGGGTGCAGTAACACAGTCATGACTGCTTGGGGCTCTGTGGAACGAACAGGGTGGGAAGGAGAAGGCCTGGATGGCTATGCATCTGCTTCATTCCTCCTCAAGACAATCTCTGAACCAGTTCTCTCTTACTAATCTATATGGCAATCACACGCCTATGAAGATACAGGTCCTGGGTGAACAGGAAACCGACACTGTCATGCTTGGATCTTAAAATGACTGGGTTAGATTTTCCTTCTTGTGAGGAGATGCTTGTTACAAAATTGATACTGTGAAACATCCTTGAAACTATTTGATTTAGCATTTCAATTTTGCACCATTTTTTTTCTGGTTTAAAAAATCTGCCCACATAGATGCTGTCTTAACAGTTTGTCTGCCTCACTGGCTCCAAACTGTTCCCACCTGGACATCCCTGGCCACGTTGTGGGTGCAGCGTCCCTTAGCCTGAATGGGACCTGCTGGGGCCCCCAAAAGAGATGGCCTTGATTGCTCAGCTGTGAAGGGCTTGTCTTCTCCCCTATTTCTGCACCTGGGGTGTATGGTTCCTGAACCAAGAAGCCGCCTGTGAGCTGTGGGTTGGCAGGAAGGGCAAATCCATTCCCCGCAGGCCTGTCCTTGGTTCTGTTTTGGGGTCACCCTCTCAGACCTTTGAGCACTCTGCATCCCTAGGGATCATTGTGAGCCTGAAGTCACCTGTGACCTAAGGGTGCACCCACATCAGAGAGAAATCGGCAGTCTGGGGCAAGCCATGTGCAGGGGACAGAGATCTTGTTTTCCACTACAGGCAAAGTTATATCACCTACCTTTCCCCTACTGGGTCACAGAGCCCCTTTCCAAAGGACCGTATGTCCACATGACCCATTGAAAAGGGGATCAGCATAGCTCTCAGCAGTCAGCAAGTGACTGCGATTAACCCTCTTGTTCTGTTGCCAGTGGAAGCGGGAGCAGGACTTTGACCTGCAGTTGCTGGAACGGGCCATGCAAGGGGAAAGGAAGGACAAGGAGGAGAATGGCTGGTTGAAAGTGCAGGCCATGCCTGTCACAGAGTTGGACCTGGAACCACAAGACTATGACCTGGACATCAGCAGAGAGGTGAGGGCAGGGGCTTCCTTCGTGTTCCCCAAAGAGGCTCAGCCTTTGGGGTCCTAGACTGGTCAACCTGACCATGTGGGATATTGCCCTAAGGGGCACAAGGCTCAGCTCCACAGTGGCCTAGAGACTGGGTGGATAGCAGCTTGAACCCAAGTAGATGAAGGTTCAAAATCTATACCTGTAATTTGGGGCAGGTTATACTTATAACTTCTCTCTACCTCAGTTTCCTCAACAGTGAAGGCAGGGAGTGGTGAGGAGTAAGTGACTTAACATACTGTCAGGTTTGGCAGTGACAGGAAAGCTTGGCACGTACTAGGGCTGATGATTCAGAAGTTGCTGTTAGCAAATGCTCCTGGGAGCTCTAGGGATTGACCTTGCAATCAATCAGGCCAACTTGGTCTTTCAAGCCTGGGGAAAGCATTGGGAAAGTTTGAAAATCAAAGGTAAAATTTCCAACCTTAACCAACAACAGCAGACAGTGCAGAATTCTGGGCTGTGTGTTGGTGCCCTCTGGTGGCACACATGCATCATAACAAGGCAGGCCCGGGAAAGCAAGTAACTGTACCCGAAAGAAGGAACTTGGGGAAGAGGCCATCTATGCCAGTGGTCTCCTGTGGCCTGTGTTGTGGCATTTGTATGCTCTGCAGGGCAGTGTTTATGGCTGCTTGGTTTGCCTTTATATCCCTAGCACCAGGCCTGGCACACGGTAGGTGTTTTGTAAATATTTGCTAAAGGATTACTTCATTAAATGAACTTCACAGTGCCCTATAAGTGTCTCAGAAACATTTGTCCAAGGACTTGGCCTGCCCTGCAGCTGCCAGAGAGGCAACTTCTCACCACGTGCAGGAGGGCTTGAGATGGGACTTCAATAAAATGTCCCTGCAGGTCCATCTGTTAGGAGAATGAGTATTGAGCTGGGCCCTCAGTGCATTCCTCCTGTTTTTAAGGGGCAGGGGTATGTGTGCACACAGGCTCGTCACATCAGTGGTACCTACCTGACCTGATAGGTTAGGGGGTACAGGGGTCTTTGAGGACTGAGAAGCATGTGAGGGGAAGCAGACACCCTTTGCAGTTGCTGGGTTCTGGGGTCAGCTGGGGCTTTAGTGCCTTACGAGGCCAGCCCCTGGCCCCAGGCTTATCCTCTCTGACACCTGAAACAGCCAAAGATCTGGGCTCTCAGATTCACAATAAAGCCTCCATTGCTGCATTGGCAGTATGCTCTGCCCATCCACCAGGGGGAAAGTCCTGCCTTATCTGTGACCCAGATCCCTCCTGCTACAATGTAATCTACTTCCTTCCTCCAGATCTGCCTTCCTGGGAATAACAGAGAAGCGCTTATTTCTTACACCTTTCAGCAAAGTGTGAAAGCTTGTGTGGTTTTAATCTGTCAACCAAGAATAAAATCAACCTAGTCAAGAACAAAAAAAACCACTCAGGGCCAATGAGGATTGCAGTCCAAGCAAATAGATCCAAACGCTTTAAAAGTGTACTCTGAGGTTTTACAAAATGGCAACTGTATTGATAGTTTTAACCACAAATTGGGGATTATGATTTAGTTCTGACAAAAATAAAGCTGTCTGGGAAGAAAAGGATTGGGTGTGGTCTCAGGCTCAGTGTAGCTTAGGGAGATATTTGTACAGGGGTCAGCAGAGATTAATGTTTGAAAGGTCAGCTCGCTTCCAGGTGGGCATGTCTGCAGTCCAGGAAAGCACCCGTTTCGGATGTGTGCGATCTGATTAACAGTTCTCTCATTTTAAGTGTCCTGAACCAATGCTATTCCATTTTAATTTTTTTTTTCCTTGACAAATCCAAGACCAGGTTTGCCCTAGGACTGTGTTTAGCTTGTTAAGAGCTTCAGCCAAACCCATTTTAATGTGGGTGAACAAAAATTGCCTTTAGTATTCTTAGCCTTGAGCAAGATTTCGGCAAGCCAAGTTTGCCACTGGATGGGTGAGATACTGGGTTGCCCTGGAAAGCAGAAGATACAGTGTAGCTACTTTCTGTCTAGATCAGAGGCACTTTTCTAGGACAGAAAGCAGCATCATGTTTCATCCATCCACCCACTGGAGAAGGATTTGCTGAAAGGCTACTAAGTGCTTGGTCCCTGTTTTAGACAGTGGGAGACAGAGATGATGAGAATGTGAGTAAGTAATGGGGCTGAGGAGGAGACAAAAAGAGGAAGGTCACTGAGAAGCAGCCAGGCAGGGGGATTGGGGAGAAAGCCCCACCCCTGTGGGAGGAGCACTGGAGGAGCCCGCAGGGCCTGGAGGGCAGCACTAAGGATTGTCAGTTTTCTCCTGAGAGCATTCAGTCCGTTGTTTGGCCTTGCCTTTCCTTCTCTTGGCCAGTGAAAGATCATCTGGTATAGCAGGACAAAGATGGGCTTTGGTCTTGGACCCAGGGTCAAATCCCAGTTCCACAATGGTTGGCTTTTTGATCTTAGCAAGTGATTTCACTTCTATGGGCTCTGTTCCCTTCCTCATGGTGGGAGGAGTGGGGGAGAGCAGGTCCCAGACCAGAACATAAACTTCCCCCTCCACTCCTGGTCCTCTCCCAGCTGTCCAAACCTGAGAAAGTCTCCATCCCCGAGCGCTATGTGGAGCTGGATCCTGAAGAGCCACCCAGTCTCGAGGAGCTGCAGGCACGTTACCGCAAAGCCGAGAAGATCCGCAACATCCTCACCCGGTCAAGGTCAGCCCTTGCTTGTCAGGTGTGCCAACCCACACCCCACCCCAAGTGGTATCTCAGTCATACATGTGGGTCCTGGGCCAAGCTGGCTGCGTGTGTGTTTTGCCTGTGTCTTAGTCTCAGGTGAAGCCCCCTCATTGGAGGGAGCAGGTCAGTACTCGTATCAGGGAGAGGTACTTACCGACCTGAGGGCCCCTTGATCCAAAGTCTGTATGAATGAAGCCAACAAATATGGGAAGTGGAGAAAGCGTGGCAGTGAACAGACCCAGTGAGAGGGCTCTGGCCATGTCCAGAGAGGCCAGAGGCTTGCCCACTACTTCCCTGTACACTGGGCTGGGGCCCTAGGAGAATGTTTTCTGTCCAGTAGTCTCCATAGCTTTAAAATTTGTGAACCTCCCATTCAGACCTAGGTTAGCCATTTTGTGTCTGAATTCAGGTCTCCGCCACCTGTAGCCCATAACTCAAGGCCTGTGGCCCTCCTGAAAGAGGGCAGAGCCCTGATCGTTGATGTATGTGGGGAGGTATATGAATCTGTCTTAGGAGAAAGAAAGCCCACCGTTTGCATAGTGTTGAGAACCACCAGGCCAGGGATACCTCCCTGTGGAGCTGTTGCCCAGGGCAGGGAGGACTCACAGCTATTCTCTGCTCCCTTGCAGCATGTGCAACCTGCAGCCCTCAGCAGCCCAGGACCGCAACAGCCTGGCCGACCTGGACTCACAGCTGCAGGAGCAGGAGCGCATCATCAACATCTCCTATGCCCTGGCCTCTGAAGCCTCCCAGCGCAGCAAGCAGGTGGCAGGTAAGGCCATGGGTGCCAGCTTCTGAGGCCCAGGGGTACCCACTGCTTCTTGGGGCCCAGGCCGACCTGTCCCAGGGCCAGAGAGTCAGTGGAAGTTGGCAGGTGAGGGCCAGCTGTGTGTTCTGATGAGGATGTTCTGTCCCAAGAGTGGTGTCACTCTTCGGCTAGCTTTTTCAGGCCCCTGAGCCAGTGAGCGAGTTTCTCTCCTCATGAAGAACAGGGTGGAAGAGCCCTGGGTGCTTGGATTCCTTGCTGGGAAAGGCCGAAAGGGATCCCTCTAGCCCTCCTTGGGACCTCTGCGTTGGTCCCCAAAACAAAGCCACTGTTCACCTTGTCAGAGTACCCTGTGCCAGAAAGCAGGTCTTGGGAAGTAGGGCTTTGCTGGCCAGTTTGAAAAAATGTCATCGTGGAGTCGGCGCACATGTATGTGCCCATGTGCGTGCATACTTGTATGTGCGGGGGTACAAGTTGTAAATGCTGCTTTCTCTTAGTCAGGAGAGGGACTCTGGCTCCTCCCTGCACTCAGGTCTCCCCCTTGTGGGTGTCCTCATAGTTTGCTTGGTGTCATTTCTCTCCAAAGGCAGAGGCTACTGTGTCTAGGTGCTGCCCCTGGCCAGGGTGCTCCTTCTGGGCTGGACCTGGCCATCGAGCCTGCAGTGAGGTCCTCCAACCCTGGCCAAAGGGTCTAGAAGTAGGCAGCGGTGGGGTCTGCAGGTCTGTAGCCTTGAGGATCTGGTATGGGGAGCAGAGCTTTGCCACAGACTCAGGAAACCGTGGGAATGGGTGGTGACAAGGGAGAGGCCAGAGTCTCTGCAGGAGCTTGTTCATGCCCTGGTCCTACATCAAGTCCCTGAAATCCCTGAGTTTCTCGCTCCTTTCAAGCATGCTGAGTAGACTGAGAAGTGGTCATTGTGGCAGTATGGCCAGGGACCTAGGAGACAGCCATCCACACTCCTCTTCCTCGTGGCCCTGGGGCTCATCTCAGCACCTTCTGAGCTCCTCCCCTCAGTGCCCTCCACTCCGCCGTGCTTGCTCTCACTGCGGGCCTGCCACCCCCGCCTCCTCGCCACCAGCACGGCACACCACAGCCCTAACACCCTGGGTCAGCTGTGGGCCTCTGGCACTCCCGCTGTGGGAAGGCCTCCTGCACCTTTCCTTGCTCTTGCTCCCCTGTTTGTCTCAGGAGATCAGCAACCAGAGGCAACCCAGGCTCTGTCGTCTGCACCCAGGTCCAGGTCATTGTGGGGGTCAGCAGGACCCGCATCCCCCAGTCTCGTCAAGTGAGGCTCTGAGTGCTGGGGGAACAAATGACTCTAACACGCTGCTTAATTCCTGTGTGCTCCGTCTAGCGCAGCAGCTGGCCCTCCTCCCACCTAAAGCGCCCCTGTCCTCCAGGACGGTGCCACCTTATCCCCCCTTAAGCAACGGACTCCACTACACCTTTGTCTAACACCGTCCAAGTAAGAGGAGCCCCTGCCTGGCACGCCTGCCGCTCACCGCCCTCTAGTGCCCAGCATGCCCTCCTCGTCCCTCTGCTGCTGCTGTGCTGGCTGCAGTCCTGCTCACTCATGCTTTCTCCTGTTGGCACAGCGGCCGCTGCAGGGACCAGCCAGGACATAGGAAGGTGGAGGAGCTGGCGCTCTTTAGGAACTTGTCCTTAGTGTTCCGATGCAGAGATTGATTCTGACTCCCTGCCCCGCTGAGATCTCTAGAGCCTCAGTTGGGCCTGCCTTTCCTGCTGTCCTTCCCAGGACAGCCAGCTGGGTGTCCCAAGGGCCAGCACAAGCCAGGCTGCAAACCTCAGGGATGGAAAGATTTAAATCTTGACCTTTGTGGGCTTTTGCCAAAAAAGAGGAAAACTGCAAGACTACAAAAGATCTGGATCAACAGAGGATAGAACTGAGGTCCACTGAGGGGTGGGGCTCACTCCAGGTCTCGCAGCGCTGGTGTCAGAGTGAAGAAGGGGCTGCCCTTGTAGTCACTGAGCACCCGATGGCAGAGAGGAAGAGGCCCAGGGAGATGTGAAATTGGCCCAGCCAGGGAGGATATCCTGGCACCATCCCATGAAGTTTTCCCTGAATGAACATCTGGCCACGGGAGGCAGTGGGCAGGGAAGGAGCCCTGGGCCAGAAGCCAGGAGGCCGGTGTCTGGTCCATCCTGGGTGGGTGCAAGCCTGGGCCCAGCGCTGCAGAGCCCAGGGCCTCGCCCAGACGGGAGCGTCAGGCTGACACCTTGGCAGTCTCGCCTCTGACATCCATCTTGCTGGCGTTAGCGGAGTTTTCCTCTCCCTGTCCTCTATATTTGCTTGTGATTGATCTTGTTGAGTACCTACCATGTGCCAGGCATAGTGCTGAGCACCTCTTGATCCACACAACAACCCTATGAAGATATCCGTCCCCCTTTTACAGATGAGGAAATGAAGCTCAGAGACCTTGAGGGACTTGCCCCAGGAGTCACAGCTTGTAAGTGTCAGGTTTGGAGCCCGTGGGAGAGAGTCCAGAGCCTTTGCTCTCCACTGCCACCTGTGGACTCATCAGGGCACCCCTGGGCACTCTACGTGCTGGAGAAGAGAGTGTGGGGCAGGTCAGGAGCTCAGCAGGTGTCCTCCAGCCCAGTGCACCCCAGCTTCGGAGCAGCCAGTGGGCCCAGCCAGCCCAGCGTGGAAGGAAGAGACCAGCCTGCCTGGGCCAGCTCTCAGGAGCTGAGGAGCAGGCCTGAAAGCAAAGCACCGTAAGGGGTCCCTGTGAAGGCCACAGGGACCTGCCAAAGGCAGACAGGGCATGTGCTTTCCCCCTGGAGATCTGAGAGGGTGACGCTGCTCAAGCACAGAGAAGCAGGACAGCGGCTCTGGTGCCCCTGAGGCTTTGCACGTGGCCTTGACTGCACTTTGCAAGCACATCCACGTGCTGTTCCCCTCACAGCATCACCGTGGGGAGCGTGATCACTCTGTTTTTAGATTAGAAGGATGGGGCCCATAGAGGCTGAATTCTCGAAAGTCATTCAGTGAATGAAGGGCAGGGCCATAACTGGGCCCCAGAGTCTCCCCCAGACCCTCTGCCCTGTTGTGCAGGGACCCAGTGTAGGAGACAGTGTGTGTCTGCACTTCCTAGGAGAGGAGGGCGGGCGAGGCCCAGAGACCGTGAGTCCTGGAAGCTGAAGGTCCCTTGGCAGCGGCCGCATCGCCTGAGCCCCCTCCTCTGCTGCTCTGTCAGCCTGTCATCCTCTGTCGTGTGTGCCACGTGCCACTGCCCGCTCCCCAGATGTGAGCAGAGACCTGCCAGCCTCTCATTGTCTCCTGTGCTTTTTCCCAGCCCAGGCAGTGACTGACCCGTGACCCAGTGTGCAGAGAAGCCTGGATCCAGGGCCAAGTGGAACCAGCTCCTCCCAGGAGATTGGCCTCTCTGCCCCACTGCCCGTTGCAGCTGAGCAGGTTCTGGCAGAGGAAGGAACAGCACACCAACCATGAGGCGCCCCCCCCCCCCGAAGCTGGGTCCCAACATATCCCCATTTGTTCCTGCTCAGACTCCTTTTTACAAGTGACAAAGGCACTTTGGATGGACACTGTAAAATACTGGCACTGTATCCTAGAATCAGAATGTATTTTATACTGTTCACCTCAAGGGCTGCACGGCTGGGATGGTGAGGATGCAGGGTGGTAGCTGCACATACAGATTCAGGTACTCGTGGGGTGGTAGGTATGGGGAGGGGGTGGACGGGGCAAGAAGCGGCAGTCCAGCTGTTGCGGACTCAGGTGAAATTGTGCTTCCTGTGGGCTCTAGTGTGGTCCCACTGGTACTCAGTCCTGGCAGAGAGGGCCCTCAGCTGCAGACAGTGGCCGTCCCTGACCTGACCTCGTGACCAGCACCAAGTGACGCTCATCCAGGGTGCACGTGGAGCCCACGTCTGTGCCTCGGCCCTTGGTTTTGGTGTAGGGGCAGCGATGTGTTTGAGAGCTCTGAGTTCCCTAACCTCGCCAGGAGGTTCTCTCAGCAAAGGGCTCTTCTTGCAGAGAAGCAGCTTACTTTCATTAAAAAATACATTTTGAAGTACAAAAAATGTGAGAGGAAGCACCTTTTTGTATCATAGCAATAAACTCTGTACTGGGTGGCATCTACCTGAGAATCCCTGACTACTGACTTCCCGCCAAGCAGGCGTTACAGGAACCTTTACCGCCTGCCTAGAGGACCTCTGGTTCGGGTCCCTAGGACGTGGGTCTGGTGGCAGGCGGGCAAGCTCTCTGCCAGCCTTGATGAACCTGTCACCAGCAGGGCCACCACCGCAAGACTTTAACGTGACTTCTAGCCCCAAATGAGGAGGAGGCTACCAAGCCAGGCGCAGTATTTATGGTCCTTTATTTAAAGTTGTCTCACAATGTTCTGTGTAAGAAAACAATGTTTAAAAGGAAAAAATGAAAACTTTCATCGGGTGGAGCCACACTTTAAATGAAAATTTGTGTCTATGCTCAGAAAAAAAAGAATCTTGAATATATTTAGAAGTTGCGGTCTATTTTTAACTAACTCCATATGCTGCCAGTATCAACTTCATGACATTTGCCAAAATAAAATTTTATTTTTGCCTTTATAGGATTTTGTTGGGAAAATGAAATGAATATTTTGCAAGAAAGAGTTAATTTAAATAAAAGTGTAATGGTTTTCAAAAAAAAAACACAACAAACAAAAATGTGATGTACAGATTAAAATATTAACCTGACACATTTCCTGTTTCTTGGTGGCTGCGTTCTCTCACAAGCGGCCTATGGGTTTTTGCGGGGGAAATCCCCGTGGTTGGCTCTCACTCCTGCTGTGTCCAGCTGTGAAAAGTCCTGCTGACAGTTCCTGGTCACTGACTGCCTTCGGACACGTAGGGGCAGGAGCGGCTCCTGGGCTGTGGCTCGGCGTTGGCAGCTGCTCGTGGTGGCCCCCACTGCACCCCAGCCCAGGAGCTGCCGGGCTGTGCTCTCCCATGTGGGGCTGGTTTGGCAGGTGGGCTGCGGTCCAACCCAAGATAGCACTGGGGGACGGGTGCCACAGGCACCCTTCCAACCCACAGACCACGGCTCGTTCCAGTGAAGTGGGTTAGTGACGGACCATTGCAAACTGGATTTGTATTTAATTCATTTTGACTGGTGATGTGTGCTTAGAACAGAAGGCAGGAGGCCAGTTCAGCTGAGGCGTGTGTGTATTTCCATGCTTGCTGTTAGGGCCGTTCTTCTTCGCTACCAAGAGGCGCATCCGAGGTTTGGAGTGACTTTCCAACTATTTAAACTGGGGAAAGTAGATACCAAAGCGTTCTGGACAGAGAATACTGCTGCTTTTTTAGCTACTGATCCTTTTGAATTTTAAAATAAAATACTCGATAACCATTGATAATATCCTACCATTTTGTCTGTAATTTGCTAAGTCCCCCCTATTATTATGTTATCCTTCTTTTATTCTTTAAAATAAAAAAAAAAAAAAAATAAAATAAAATAAAATAAAATACTCTCCAGTTTTAAACATTACTTGATGTTGCCATAACAGATGAAAGCGGCGGTGGGGGGGATGATTCCATAATTGGATGTGGTGGCATCCCTCAAGAAAGAAAGAAACTCCACAGGAGGGGGCACTCACCCCGCAGTGCAGCCATTTGTAGACATTTTCTCCGTGGAAACTTGCCAGTGGTTTTTATACGCTTGGCTACAGTTTCTGTTTCACACACGGTAATCCCGTGTATGCAGGAGCATGGCAACTCTGAACTAGCTGCTGTTTCCAGGGTGCGCCATCAGGGAGGAAGGATAGCCTGTTTTAGAAGAATCCTGCCCCAAGTTGCAATCTGAGAGTGTCCAGCCCTCAGCTCAGACTCAGCAGGAAGCACTCGAGGTTCAGAAAAGGCACCTGTGTAAGAGGCAGCATGGCCTGGCCCTCTGCAGCCCTTTGAGAGGACTCTGGTTCCCTGAGGTAAGGTGCGGTTATCTGTAAAATAATGGCAGCCCAGGGACACTCACAGGGGAGGGGGCAACTCGGGGGAAGACTTCAATCCAGCGAGTCCAACTTGCCTTCCTTACAGGGACCCAGGGCCTGAGCAGTTTTAAACAGTGGGATTGAAGCTGCCAAAAGAGACAGGAATGCATGTCTATTTGTTGACATGTAACTTTAACCCAGGCCCAGGTAGGGCCCAGTATGCCTGTCAGATTTTAGGAAGAGCTACCAAGAGCACTTGAGGATCTAGTCTCAAACAGGTACGAATAAAATTCCTTCCTAACCCCTGCTTGAACTTCTGGATCTGCCAATCCCCTTAACGTGTCTAGGATGTCTTTTTTATTTTTTTCTTTTGGTCTTTTTGAGACAGGGTATCACTATGCAGTTCAGTCTGGCCTTGAGCTCACTTTGTAGCCTAGGCTGGTTTCGAACTCACAAAGATCCTCCTGCCTCAGCCTCTGTGTCCTTTAAGTGGTTGCATTGTACTGGTATTTGGGTGAGGTAGATGTGGCCAGGGGCATTGTGTTTTCCCCAGTTATTCATTCACCCGCCCACCTTGGTGCCTGGCCACCAGGAGTGGCCACTTAGCTCCCTTCCCACTCCCGCAAGGCCCAGGCTGCTTTCAAGGCCTGACCGTGGACTGTGAATTTCCCTGGCTATGTTAGGTGGCAGCTCAAGGCCGGAGAATCATTTTCCTGCCTGCTGTTGCTCTCCATGGGCCTGAAGATTTGCTGAACTAGTCATCTTGGGTAGGGAGAGAGAGGGGGCACAGATGCTCGCTGAGCCTGGCAAGAGCTTGTTTTGGGCTCTAGGAGTTTCCCACAGCTGCAGCACAGTATCCATGGTTAGCCCTTTTGTGTTCTCACCAAGGGTGGAAAAGAAGCAGCAAATGATTTGTCTAATCTGCAAATCACATTTCTGAGACATGGCAGGCCAACGCTGTGAGCCCTGAGCTTCCAACTCGGCATCAGATGCCTGGCTGCGCGAGGGACTTTGCCAATGTGGGTTGCGCATCGCCGTCGTGATGAAAAGAACAAAGAGCCCGGGCTGGGGAAGACATGAAAACTGGCAGCCCCTCCCGGTGCCGTAAACACACCATTGCTTTGCCGCCTTCACTCAAAAGGCTACCACTTTCATTGCTCCCCCAGCAGAGGAACCTTTCTTCAGAGTGAGTGGCGGGGTACAAAGGCAGAGCACAAAATGTGTGCACATCACAGTCCCCGCAATTCTGTTTGAACAAGCATATTGATTGGGCCTGACCCTGTTACATTTTTTCCCTATTATTTGAAAGGGTGCATCTAAGTGTAGTGAATTGAGCCAGCAGAGCTGAACTTTCCATGAAAACTTCTTGAGGTATTTCTTTAGTTCAAAGCTTTTGAATTTTAAAGGGCATTTTTAATATGAGTCTGTTGAGTATTCTCTGCTGCAACCCAACAAGGCATGCTCAATGCAGATGAGGTTGGAGTGGAGGCTGAGCCTGGGGCTGGAGGCGTGGGTGAGCCTGGTCTTGGGGATAGAAGCTGAACCCCATGCTGGGGAGCAGCGTAGATCCTAAAAGGGACCTCTGAACACAGCACAGCTTGGGGATAGGCATGAGGCTTCACAGCTGAGCTGCCTGAGCCAGGAAGCGCTCACTGGTATTCTCCCCATGGTGGAGGGTCGTGTCGCCTGGATGAGAGGACCTTGCTGCCCAGCCACTCACTGCCTCTCACTCTGCCTTAGAGTGGAGAAGGACTCAAGAGGCGCAGTCACTTAGCTGAGGTCCCAGAGTTCAGGAGGAAACTGCCGTTAACTGCACCTGTCACACACCTTGCCTCTGCCCCCAGCCATGGGTGGACTTTGCAGCCCCGGGAAAAGTCTTACCGATGAGTCCCAGCTACTTTCCCCTGGTGTCCTGGGCTGCATCTCTGTGTGTCGCTGATGCCATATCTTGGACAGCCTGCTAGTTGTGTGGTGTAGTGGCAGCCTTTGCAGCAGCCTAGCCCAGGGCCCTGGAGTTTGCCCCGAAATCTTTCTCCCCACACATACGAAGGCAGGCTCTTCAGGCCCACCAGAACACATAGGTTCTTTTGATTGTGTTTTTGCTTGCCTGTGGAGGCCTCTTGGCTCTGGAAAACACCTTCTAGATCCAGAATTCAGGCTCAGAGGCGGAGTCTTCCTGGGAGGAGAGAGAAGTTTAGGGCTTGTGCCAGGGTTGGACATCTCAGCAAAATCGTTGAAGCAAAGACCTATCCAAATTTCCACCTGGAGACAGAGGCCTGGGAGAGTCACAAAAGGGTCAGAGCCATAGTAACATCAAGGGTTGCCTGGGCCCATGGCTGCCCCGTATGTGCATTGGCACGCATTTTCCTGGCTGTCACTTTCAGGCCTTCCTGCTCCTACCTGTATTTCTGAAGGACACACTAGCCTGTGGATACAAAGGAAGTCCCAATGACAGTCATGACTTAACGTTTCCTGGCCTCTCCCTAGGCCTGCTCCCCACAGAGGGCCTCCCTGCTCTCTCTCCTGTTTCTGGGAGGCCCTGGATTTAGCCATCTGAGCTCCCAATTGTCCTCTCACATCTTGGTCTCCCACTTGCAGCTCCTAGGTGCCCGCAGGCCAGGAAGCTGCTCCAGGGTGGCCTCTCATCCCCACCCTGTGCCCGGAGACACTGCACCTGTCTGGCTGTGGCCCTTTCTGCAAGAGTGTTTGCGCCTGCAGTTGTCATGGCCAAGCCCAGGCTGCGGCCTGCACAGCAGTGGGGGAAGATTTTGCTCTTTCATCACTTGGGGCTGAAAGTAGAGGCTCTTGGGCTCATTTACTCGGAGCCCTGAGAACCTGTTTCTCAGCAGCCGCCCAGGGCCAGCAACAGCCTCTCTGTCCCTGCCGCTCCCTCGGGTTCAGGCCCCTTTGCAGCCCCTATTGGTGTGTGGTACACAGTCCAAAACAGTGGCTCGACCCTCCAACAGTGTATTATTTCTCAAGATCCTGCCCGCTGTGTGGGGCTCTGCTGGGCAGATCTTGGGCTCTGTGGATGAGGGACAGGGACTGGGATGTCCTTCACTTGCTATTCTGTGATGCTAGTGTCAATGACAATGTCTGCCACCAAGAAGCTCCCAAGGAATAATTTGTTCCATGAAAGGATGAAGGAGTGATGAGATTAAGGTCTGCTGGCCAGGGAGATTTCTTTTTTCAGATGACCTTGTCTATCTTTTTCTTCTGTGTGATTTTGTGTCCCCACAGAGGATCCCTAATGCCTTATTTCTAAGTCCCTTGAACAGTGTAAAGAGGGATTGAGGAATTCCAATCCACTGTCCTTTCCGTGACCTTGGGCAAGTCACTTGACAACCCCCAACCACAGCTTCAGTCTCCATCTGAGGACTGAACTGGTAAGTGTCTACCTTCCATGGGCCATTGCGAGGACTGAGGTAACCCTTACCCAAGTCCCTGCCTTTAAGCGCCCAGTAAATGTTCACCCTGCTAGTTTTGCCCTCATGTCTGACCAATTTATAAACACAACAGGGCTCAAGGTAGTTCTTCCATTTTTAAACCCTGTCGCCTTCTGGCTGGACAGGCTAAGCAGGTTTGGGGTCTTCTGCCCCCGCCCTCTGTTTGCCATTTCTGGCAGTCTCCTGCAGTGGGTAATGCAG